TGATACCGGATCAAGTCTTCCCGTGCTGAAAATAACCCAAACAGCACAATCATATACACAATAACTACATGTACAACACAACCTTTAACATGTTTAAGTTCAAAATATAGCGAGATAGTCGTTCTTCCAGATAGGCGGATTGCACATGTTAGGACATCGGCCAATAGAGACTCTTCTGATAGTACAAAGCTACTCAATTTAGAGCGTTTTCACCTTGAGGAGAAGGCAACATGGTCCCCCCTAGCCTACAAATATAGATATATACATCCCGGCAGACATTCTTATTTACCCCTTAGCATTTTTTATGAACAGACATAGGGACACACGTTCATTGTTTCCTTACAAAATGCATCTTTTAACCATGTCAATGTAGGCCGTAGTAGTCTACAGGTCAGAAATACTTTTAAAAAGTCTAATGTACATAAAATATATCTGAAATGATTTTGCATTATCCCCTGTCATATGTATGCACGGAAAGTTTACATTTCAAGCACAAAAAGGCCAAGTAAAATAAAGACATTACTGAATTTGAGTAAAAATTGCAAATGGCGGCCATGTACAAATGTCATCACTATCGATACTGCTGTCAAACTGCGGCCAATTCCAGTCTAAATCTACGCCCTTCACACGTTAAAATACAATAACTGTCTTCTTAAATACCTTGAATATGCAGCCTTGTAAACATCTTGTCAGTAGAAGATCTTGAAACGATGCTGTAGTCAACGAAATGCAGAGCGATAGCGAGTAAGAGCAATGGCGATTCTGTTAAAACAGAGGGGCGTTGGCAACGACAACGGTAACTAGTATGGAGACGACGTCAAAACGAGGCGTCATCGTCCATTTCCGGTAAGGACAATCAGCCGGCTGTAGTTGCATGTCATAGGGCCAAACACATGGCGATTTTTAGCTTTCCGGCCATTGCCAGCATATTCAAACGTCGGATATACGGTAGTTAACCACCAAATCGGGCCCATGGGCTGACAAAATATAACACTCACTCTCAAAAGTTAATGTTAGTGCAAAATAGAAAACTTTGAGCATTCATTTTCAATCCAAAGTGTTTCAGATTCCCTTTTTTTATTTGCTGTTTCGTATATAGTCATCCCAGAAACAGAAGTTGCAGTATAAACTCCTGCAGTCAACCATAAAATGACAGACCATTTGTATCTTCAAGTGCATGGTTCTGAATGTAAGAATATATATTGTGACAAAGAGGAAGTATCGAACATCATGAACAATAGGGACAGAAAGACATAAAGCAAACTACTTTAGAAAAGGAAGCAGATCCTGGTGTAGCGGCCGTCGTCATGGTTCCCGTCGGTGATAAAAAGAAGGGCAGGTTGAATTTATTTGGACCCCGAGTATTCCATGTAACTGGTTAACTGCTGAATATATTTAATTGCTGGCCAGTACACATCGTCTCAGCCGGGAATGGTCTGCCGGTGTGTGGCTGATGTACATTTAAGTTTGCCGGGACAGCTGCACTCATAACTGTCGCGGAAGGACAAGCGGGTAGATTCCTCTAAATCCGCGCTTATAACTCGCTACTAAGCCGACAAGAGTGGTCTCCCTTCAATCATTGGTCGACACGAAGCTGGATGAGGCTCCGGTGCATCCATTCCCCTCACTTACAAATGAGGTAAACGCAATGGATATATACTTACAATGGATATATACAAAGCAACAAAGAATATTGAACATTCCTCTTTGTTTTGAAACTTTCTTTTATTTCAGGTGGAAGATGGTAAGTCTGTTTCCTTGGCAACTGTTTATTGAAACAGTGCATGTATATCATGCTATACGTCTGAACATAAAGCAAAGATTACTTATTCACCCCCAGTATTTAAAGTGGGGTCAATGGGGTAGCGTCGTGGTTAAAGCACGGGCTGAGATGCCGAAGTCTCAGCTTCTACTGCGTGTCGACCTGGACTGAAAATGACCGCCAGACGAACGGCACTGTACTGCTGTCGATATTAGACAATTTAGAAATGTCCAAAGACTCCTCGATACAAAAAAACACTCAAAAAGAGGGAAGGGAGACCACTCTCCATCGCCTGTCAGGTGTGCTGTGACCTAAAGTGAGCGAAGTGATCGTAAAATACCCAGCGTTCCGATGATTATCAGCTTGTACTCTTAGGACTACCCATGTGCATATACACTTGGGGTTTGCCATTGCAGATTTAGATTGTAAAGACTGGGCTTGAAGACAGCAACACAGCGGATGAGGCGCCAGTGCATTCATAACCCACACTAACATATCAGATAAACGCTAATTAACCTAGCTGTTGGTTGAATCAGCTGGTCTGCATGTTCATTTTGTACATGATATAACTGAGACATGTACGCCAGGTGTACAGCATATTCCCAGCTGTATCCTCGCTTTGCTCGTTTCCATTGCACATTCAGATTGTGAAGGATGGACTAGAAGACGGCAACACAGCGGTTGAGGACAAATGCCCTGAACATGTTCATTTGTAAACTAGTTTCCTCTGTATTACATTTTCAAGATAGTTCCATGCCAGACTCTGGTCAGCTGCCTCTACTGCTGTGTTGCTGTCACCTAGTCGTTAATAAATCTACTAAAGGAAGGACAACAGACTCATGTGTATACCATTCATTTATATTTATTAAGGTTCCACCAAGAAATAGAATGGTACGTGCCAAAAAGCACCAAAATCGGGGCCGAAAGGGAGGCACAGTCAAGAAGGGAATAAAGAAATGCCAGAGAAGGGTATGCCAAAACATTGTTTACTAGGCCGAAAGGGTGTGTCCAGAAATAGGCCGAAATATGTAGCCAAATCAGACCAAAAGGGAAAAGGCACCACAAAACATCTTACCACACAAACACACTCAGTCACGAAAACGTCACACATGCAAAACACACCTCTCACACATCCACCCACACCTACATGCAAAACGCCTCTCACACACTCACAGATACACCCTCACACATTCACACATGCAAAACACACCTCTCGCACATTAACGGATACACCCTCACACATACACCCGATCACACATGCAAAACACATCGTGTTCACATACACGCATGCAAAAATGCAATTCTCTCTCTCTCTCTCTCTCTCTCTCTCTCTCTCTCTCTCTCTCTCTCTCTCTCTCTCTCTCTCTCTCTCTCTCTCTCTCTCTCTCACACACACACACATACACACCACATACAAAACACATCTCTCACACAAATGCACCAATTTACAAAAGCAAAACACATCTGACACCTACATCCAGTTATGCTTATACAACCTCTAAGATATACACTCTCTCTCTCTCTCTCTCTCTCTCTCTCTCTCTCTCTCTCTCTCTCTCTCTCTCTCTCTCTCTCTCTCTCTCTCACACACACACACACATACACACCACATACAAAACACATCTCTCACACACATGCACCAATTTACAAAAGCAAAACACACCTGACACCTACATCCAGTTATGCTTATACAACCTCTAAGATATACTCCCAATAATAGCATATGTACAACAGAAGTTAACTGTGAAAACGTTTTGTTGGAGAGATATAGATATGTACATATTTGAAAACATTCTGATTTGCAGTAAATGAGACACCTACATTGCCATGTAAGATACGATTAATACCAATCAGTGTTCTAATTTTAGCAATACTTTCTAAAGATTGTAACAGTTTATGTCTTTGAGTAGGATACAACGGTCATTCAAGGAAGTAATGGCCACATTGACATGATGCGTCATATTTTAAATATTTATTCTAAATAAATCGTAATTAAGTGCACTCGTCATATATCTTAATGTTGTGTGAAAAACATATAACTTCTTTATTCCATATGAATAATATTTAGGTTCACATTTCTCTGTATTTGGTTTATATGATACAACAGTGTCGCAATTTCTAATAGCTAAGCTAATGTTTTCAATATGATGATGCCGACTCCCGTTAGACCAGAAGGTTAAACCGAACTGTTTATGAAAATAAACAGTTTTTATATTGCAGCAATGAAAATTCAAATTACTGTGTTTTCTTCCATCTTTCAAAATAAATAATATAGCTTCAATTCAGTTTGTTCCCGTGTTTTTATTTCGACTATTCCATTATAATGTGTAGGTAACAGGTAGTAGATAATCTGTTCACTGAACCGTAAATGTTGTTGTTTTAAGGTGTCTGCGAACTGGCTGTCTGCGTAATGGGAGGACACCGCCTCACTCTGATAGAACTCAAACACGTTCTAGAATCTGTCTTTTTCTTGGAAAGTTTAAAATAAAGTTCCCAAATACAACACACGTTAAATTTGAGGACTTTCATACTTACATTTGTGGAGTCGAGCACATGCACGAGCAGTTTTCTTTCAGATTTCAGTGAGAGCACCATCCCGATCTGCAGGTGTTTTAATTTATCATGTGTTTTCAGTGGAGGGTATTATAAAATAATTGTCGGGATGTTTAGGAGGGGACGAAGTTTTGGAATTATGGTCAGAGGTGTGTGTGTGTGTGTGTGTGTGTGTGTGTGTGTGTGTGTGTGTGTGTGTGTGTGTGTGTGTGTGTGTGTGTGTGTGTGTGTGTGTGTGTGTGTGTGTGTGTGTGTGTGTGTGTGTGTGTGTGTGAGTGAGTGAGTGAGTGTGTGAGAGAGAGTGTGTGTGTGAGTGTGAGAGAGAGATGATTTTTATGGAGAAGCATGTACAATGTGAATGACCCCCTAAAATTTATGTACAAAATAAGTGCCCCAATTTTAAACATACTTTTATGTAGAAAATTGCTGACCCCCAGTACGTGTGTACAAAATTGCTGACCCCCAGCTCCCCCAGAACTAAATAGGTGACCCCCTAATCATCAACCCACCCCCACCCCCACATACACAAGCCATAAATTATGGACGGTCCCTAAAGGCCTCTAATATTTCGTTAGAAGTGTTTGTTGTTTTTAGCGGTATGTGGCTATGACGCAGTGGAGAGTTGCGTCCCCTGTGGAAGTAAAACTATGGCCGAATGTTGACAAGTTTCGAAATATGCATTTCCAATAAGCGTATTAGCGTACACTGGATGACAATATTATGGGTCCAGACGCCGACCAAGCGAATGTTTTGCTGCTGACATTTAAGACGAAGGTAAGTGCACCGACACACTCTGTGAACCTGAGACTTGGTTGTTAATGACAAAACTCACCAAGTAACCGTACTGATACTGATAGTGACGGGCCAATTGATACATTTATGAGGCGATCGCTTTCTTGTAGAATATGAAGGAGAATTGCATAAATTATTTCCAGCATGTGAAAAGACACTCGGGGTCTTATTTTGCACAGTTCTAATAATTCTAATGACTCTATATAGCTTTCTAGTGTAAAAGTCTACCTATTGTCATATTCCTTGTTCTTCAGAGGGTGTGTAACCACAGATCTTATTTAGATATTTTTGTATGAAATGTTGACAAATTTGTTGTATTGCATTTGTATGACATGTTATACAACTCGATCACATCATATTTCAGCCACTGACTTGAGCATGCTGAGTAAAATATTTAGTTTTGTTAATTATGTTCATAATTAGACAGGTATGATGATACTTATGGATAACAACTTCTTTATTACATATGATGCGACATTTCAGTACAGATTCTTATCTTATAATATAATGTTCATAATTCAAAAAGTGAGCGAGTGAGTCAAAGTTTATAGTCACAGCGGCAGTATTTCAACCATATCATGACTAAAAATAGTTATAAATTATTCTTGATAATACATAAATTTCAAAAACCTGTCGACAAAGGACAGCAAAACCAACTAGAATATCACAGTATCAAGAATTAAAACTAGCAACTATTTCCAAAACTGGGCTTCAATTAGGACAATACAGTACAAAAACGGGCCAAGTATCGTCAGCAACTGAAGGAAGTAATTCAAAACGTAAAAGGTGGTGCACTCTGCAGTGTGCTCAGTCTTTTATTTCAATCAATGCTGCATGGTAGCTAACCATCCCTTTAAGACCTTTGAATCTTTTGTCATGCATATCTGTTATCTTATCCCTACAGATTGAAGAAGCAGTTAGTCTTGTGAATCAGATGCCTGAAGACATGAGACAAGATGTCTGGCAGTTCTGGCAGAAGGTATCAACAGTAATCAAAGCAGCAACCATTGGAATCAAGAAACGGAAACCTGTTCCAGGTGGAAAGGATCTGGCACCTCAACCAAGGAAAAGTAGGAAGAAAAAGTTGAAAGCATTAGCAGAGAAAAGTGATGATGAAGTTGTGGAGGAGTTTGTGTTGGACACCCAAACTATTACAAACACAACTCTGCCCTCTGATCTGCCTGCAGAAAACACTTACAGTCATGATACATTTGCCCAAGATTTGAAACTGTTGTACAGTTCTGTGTATTCTGCCGAGACCTCTGATGCTGTGGCAGCCATGATAGCAATCAATGACCCTAGTTCTGTGAGTAATATTGAAGGAAACAAAGTCCTAGACAACCATCCAAGTTTGGAGGATAGAACAGACATACAATCTCAAGGACCTGGGTCCATTAACATTGTTGTGCAGGATTTCGTTGATGATCAGGTGATCACTTCATTAGTGACAATAGATAATCCTAACTCACCTCTGAAAAAAATAGTTCCAAAACCTAGTCCTAAACCGAAACCTACAAAAAAGATTGGTGTAAAAAGAAAACCCAAAAAGGAAAAAGTAAAGGTGGAAAGTGCAGAAATATTAGAACAAACTGTCTCGGAAGCAAATGATCCAGAAAAGCCAAAGCCAAAGAAGACTCCGAAGAAAAAGAATGCAGCTAAAAAGAAATTAGAACCTAATGCTGGAGATGCTATATCTAAATTATTATCTGAGAATATGGGTTTACCTGAAACTGAAAATGTTGGTGGTCATCCAGAGTCAGAAGGCGTCACTCCTGAGGTTGGTGAAACTCCACTTGCTGAGAACAAATCAGCTAACAAAAAGTCAGAAAAGAGGCCAAGGCGATCTACTCGACCACCCAAACCTAAGAAACTCCCCACAGACCAACAGGAGATTGATAGGGCTATTGAGGGGGAGGGTGATGGGGAGGGGCGGAAACGTCGGGTGTACAAACCAGGTGAGCCTAAGCCCGACTTGGGTCCAGTCAACTGTGAAGTGTGTGGAGTACAACTCGCCTATCTGTCTTCTTTGGCAGGTGAGTGCATAGTCTGATTTCTTTGTACATGTAACCTGTGAAGATCCGGGCTAGAATTGTTCTTCAGTAACCCATGTTTGTTGTAAGAGGCAAATACTGGGACTGGGTGGTCAGGCTCGCTGGATTGGTTGACACGTCATTCTATCCCAGTTGCATAGAACATTGAGGGTACATCAACCCATGTTTCCCTCATGACCAGTGAACAACTTATAATGTAATCACCATTATTGTGTTGTGTGAATCTTCATTATCCAGCCTCATGTAAGAATGTCGAGTTTTGATTGGTTCACGTGACTCTGATAAAATACCATGTACACCGTCACGATCCGCGAGCAGGGAGTACAAAAGTTGTATTATCCCGCCATGCATCGGTGTCCACGCGAAGTGAGAAAAGCGTGCATCGCCAAGCCTTTAGTAACGTGCGCTGCATTGAGGTCAATCGATCAGCTGTTGTCAATGAATGTCAACATGGCAGGAAGGAAACGTTTTGCCACAACAACTGAGAATGAAATTGAAGCAAAACGTTTGGCTAGATAAATGCGTTATCACATCGTGTCTTGGGAAATACGGGGTTTATCAGTCCCTCGTAAGGTTGTAATACAACTTTACGAGGGACTGATAAAACCCTGTATTTCCCGAGACACGATGTGATAACTTATAGTATCTTAAGGTAGAAAAAACCCAAAACATTCAGTGAGCATGGTATTTGTTCTCAGGCATGGTAGGTCATGGGGTACAAACGAATAAGGTGAACAATCAGAAATTCATTAGTAATGTGCTATAGTTTCCTTCTTATCATTTTTCATGATGTCTATTTGAACCAATTTAAAACAAAATGTGTTTCTAAATTTTGTATTCATTAATTCTTCCATGGTAATATGTAAAACAGCTCTCACAGGTCTCTTTTTGTTTCATTTAATATCTTTCTTGTCGGTTATCAGTGCATCACTCACCAAAACAGAAATTTAATAATTAAGCACTATGCATTCTAAAGACAGCTAATTGTACCATGAACACAGCATGTCCATTATTACTGGGCCCAGTCGTCTAAGGTGCTGCAATTATTAAAGGGTTCAAAATGTACATTTAACTCTGATTATCAAAGGATAATATTTTGGTTTGTCTGAATTATTCCCATTTTTGAGGCATTCAACAAAGTGGTAAATATCTCAGACATGCCAAATACATCATGCTTACAGTTACACACCGTGATATAAGTGGAATATTGTCCAAATCAGAGTAAATACCAAACTCACCCGTCCATTGTTATATCATTAGTCAATGTTCACTGTTGGTTCTCCAGCCCATATGCGGAAGCACACAGGAGATCGGCCATTCAGCTGTGGTGTCTGCAACAAGCCATTCACCACCAAGGCAAACATGTTGCGACACGAGAAGACCCATTCCGGTGAGAAACCATTCGAGTGTGAAGAGTGCCACAAGTGTTTCACTGAGAAGAAGACACTCAAGGTTCACATGAGGAGTCACACTGGAGAGAGGCCATTCAAGTGAGTGGGACGGGGAGAGATTGTCATGTAGGCGCTTATCATGCCTACCATGTATAGTGGCAATCCCTCTCAGTATCATCTTAATGCTGTATCCTTTTCATCCTTTTCACGAAGCTGTGACTAGTGTGAGCCAATATGTAGGTTTTGGAAAGAAATTGTACTTTTGAAGAAAAGTATTTATTTTTTGGTAAAAATCCACAAGATTTCTGGGATCCAGCCCATTAAAAAAACACACAATCAGACTGCAACACACGTTGCAATGATAAACATTCCCCCCACCCATAATCCACTTTCTGTATATGATGCAATCTAGATGTTCAAAATGCAGGGTATTTTGACATGGCAACAGTGATTTTGCTCATGACATGAATATGACTCATGAGGACTGAGCTAACAGTAACAGCTTTACTTTTATTGAGCATTTCTTTCTTTGTTTAGTTGGAATCCCTACTGAAATAGATTGCTGCCAGCAACCAAAATTTATAGAACTAAAGTACTGTCGGAAATAGAAAAAAAACACGTTTTTAGGCTGTTACTCTGTATCCCTAAAATTTACACAATTGCAAATAGCATATGTCGAAATAACCCACATCGGCCTAATTGGGTGTTCAGTAGGATGCATAATAGGATATCCAGAAAAGCATGTTTACTCGCATCCTCGAATATCTCCAGGGTATACGTTACCATAACTCTCCACTATACCCTGGACGCATCCACGGCTTGGGGCGATGATTTTATTACCTCCTTTGGCTGGCTTTTTATCCAATCCGGTGCCTACGCTGGGAAGTTGAGCGTACCAATCACAACTCACTTTCGCTTCTTAAATTATCTAACCGTTTAAACTTGCAGAGGTACTCTGAAAGAAGTAGAAGGAGTTCTGTCATATATATTTTTAAGTTTCAGATCTGTCAATTTGTCTTTATTATTTCCCCAAAAATCTGAGTTGCACTGCGAACAAACCTTCGCGACTGCGACCGCTATCCTTGTTGACACTGGCAAGCTCGGTTGTAACCGCGGCTTAGCTGATTGGCTACTGTGAGAATGCGGAGCCAGCCAAGGGAGGTAATAAAATCATCACCCCAAGCCGTGGATGCATCCAGGGTATAGTGGAGAGTTATGGTAACGTATACCCTGGAGATTATCGAGGATGGTTTACTTGGAAAATTTGACAAAACTTAGAAAAAATACGAACAGCTGCTCAAAACAACAGATCAGACTATAGATGGCAATTAGGTCGCACAGTCAGGTATGACGACGGACCGTCAACTCGCTTGGCATAAAATGCACATGCTGCCCACAGACACAAGGGGTCATCTCAAATATCTTTTAGGCTCTTTCATGTGTATTGAATATGTCTCTACTGATTAACTAATCTTATAGCTAATATCTCTATCCCCAAGCCCGACCCCAACTACCATCAGCAACACCCGTCTTGGTTTTGCATTTGAGACGACCCCTCCTACCTGTTTCTTTTTATAGTGATAGTGAGACTCAATGGTATCTACATCCTTAATAGTTTCAGTATTAAAGTTGTTATTTTTTACGTCTGCTATTGTTTATTATGAAGCTAAGTCTAATTTCAAAATGGACATTCAAAAAGTGTCATTTGTTATACAATATCATCGCACACTAATTTGCATAAAGCCATGGTCTGCCCCAAATAAGTCTCTTCGGACTTGAAAAAACTGCATTGCTCATTTCTGCACTAATATCTCCTCAGTAAAATCCTTTTTTAACGTTTCCTATATCATTACCACTGAGACTGTAATTAGGCCGAACTTAGTTCAACAGATATAGTATGACCAGAAATTATTGAGAATTTTAGGAATATGTTTAATTGGATTTCTAGTATAAACAACCTTGACCAGCTATCAAGTGCTTGGTTTCATTCAAGAGAGACAACTCCGTTAATCCTTTTTCATTAGTTTGTGAAGAGTTATCCCCCTTTGTTTACTTGCTAGCAGACAACATTTTCAGTGATCCTCAGTATGGATGATGTAGAGAAGAGGAAGTTGATTTAAGAGTATTATAACAAGGACATCAGATCAGCTAAAGTAATTTCAAGTATAACAGGCATCCCTTTGTCCACTGTTTATCGTGTTTTGAAAAATATTGCAAGTGGCTATGGCATTGAGCACCAGGGAGGCGCAGGTAGGCCCAGAAAATTGACTGTTGGTGACAGGAGGCGGCTTGGTATTCTTGTTTCTAAAAACAAACGAAAGAGTTTAGAAAACTTAAGGATGGATATGATTGATAGAGGAACTGTGGCTGTCTGTAAGGAGACAATTAGAACTGAGCTACATGCAATGGGTTGGCTGAATAGTCGAGGAATTCAATCACCGATCATGAAACCTGAACAAAAGGAGCGAAGGTTGAACTGGTGCTTACAGCATATAAATTTTAACTGGGACAATGTGATTTTCACAGATGAAAGTTCTGTGTGGCTGTTTCCTAATACACTGAAATTCTGGACCAAACAAACTGAAAAACCTTTGTAACAGCGCCCGAAGTACAGTCCGAAATTTAACGTGTGGGTTGGCATATCTGTGTTAGGGGCAACGCCCCTCTGTGTATTTGAAGGGAATATAAACAGTGAGCGGTACACAGATATTCTTGAGGGACATTTACTTCCATCTGCTCACGTGTTCTATGGAAATTTTGGGATTTTCCAGCAGGACAACGACCCAAAACATCGTTCAAAGCATTCACAGGCCTGGTTTCGGACCCAAAATATGACATTATTAGATTGGCCAAGCTATAGCCCTGACCTAAATCCAATAGAAAATGTTTGGGGCCTTATGAAGGAAAGTGTCAATAAGAAAAATCTGACAAATATTGCTGAAATGAAAGAACTGACTGACTGAGTTTGGTTTTACGCCGCGTTTAGCAATATTCCAGCAATATCAGGGCGGGGGACACCAGAAATGGGCTTCACTCATTGTACCCATGTGGGGATTCGAACCGAAATGAAAGAAGAGGTGGTCCGATATTGGGACAGCATGGACCATGACTTTCTAACGTCTTTGATCAGCAGTATGCCCCGCCGCATTGAAGCCTGCATTGCTGCCCATGGTGACTTGACAAATACTAACTGTTTACCTGTCTTTGAATCTGGAGTTATGTTCTGCTAATATTCACATTTAATACGTGAGTAATGAGTGAAAAAAAATAAAATTACAATCTTAAATTCTCAATAATTTCTGGTTGTACTGTATTTCACACTTTCACATATTAATTACCTAAATTGTAGATATAAATGTGAAAAAAGGTTTTTTCTATTTCCAACAGTACTTTAGGAACAAAATTTCTACATGTGAAAAACACTTTTCACACAGGATTAGTATATAATTTAGACAGATGAAACAGTTCATTCTTATACGCAAACTCTATTTGATTTACTTCTGTGATCAAAATCAATATTTACATGATCGAAATAAAATTTTAGTGAAATAACATGCATACTTAGATAGAGATGAGGTTGCATTGCTCTCTGACTTGTCTCCATGTAATCCAACCTCTGGATGGAGACTCTGTTATGTTCCATGATTTCTGTACCCACATGAAATAGACTGAATATTGCTTACTGTTGCCTACTGTTTATTCTAGTTTTGGGCAAATGTTTCTATATCTGCTTGTTACCAGATGCCCTGAGTGTAGCATGGCGTTCACACAGAGTGGCACCCTGAAGACTCACATGCACCGACATAGCGGCCACAAGGGGAACCTCTGTGACTTGTGCGGCCGGGCGTTCCGGCAGAAGTCTCAACTCCGCATACACCTGAGAAGGCACTTCAACCTCAAGTCCTACCAGTGTGACAAGTGTGACCAGACATTCTACTGTAAAGGTAATCACCTGATGTACATCTAATGGAGGGATGATGATGGTGTTGATTATTATCATGATTACATTAGGATACTAGCATCATGCTATTACCATAGTCTTGACAAGTGTTTTGTTGTGTATGGTACACAGACAAGAACCATAATAAAGCCTTGTCAACATAATTACATTCAGTGGATGGTCAGTTTTGCCACACTAATTTCATTATTCTATTTTGACTTTAATTCATTAAAGCAGGTGGGAAGAGTATTACAACTATCAAAGTAATAATCTGTGACTTGATTTATTATTGCATAGTGCCTGTTACCGCTACTCATAGGGGGATGGGGGTCGTATGTGTGGTGGGTTGGAGTGGGTGGGGAGAGGGGAATGGAGGCTGTCCTCTTGCTCCAGGTGAAGTCTTTGCTGCAAACAATCTGGTGGTAACCAACACAAACAAAATGTCATTGTAGCTGAACAATTTCAGATTCAAGTCTGCTTGACCTGATTAGCCATGTAATATATACAATGGCTAATGCGGGTTGGACAAATCAGTAAAACCAGTAATTTTGGAGTAAATGTTCAACTCTCTTTGCTTGCCTTGTTGCAGGTGACCTGACCCGACATGAGTTGCGTCATACCGGAGAGAGACCTTTTGCATGTGCACAATGCCCTAAAACATTCACTCGCCTGCAGTACCTCAAGGAGCACGAGAACCAGCACAACGGCGTAACCCCCTACAGCTGCGACATCTGCTCCATCAAGTTCTCCGACCACTCCTCCCACTACCGACACTTACAGAAACACAAGAAAACCATCATGGACGCTTCCACTGAGGACCAAGTCCATCTTGTGGTGGACAGTGAAGCCATTGAGAACGAGACTGTGGACAGTGTTCCAGCCTTGCTGGTCACCGCGGACCACATCCAGCACTTGTTTGGTGTCAACACCTCCAACCAGGGCGAGGTGTATCGTATTGCCCTGGTAGATCAGACAATGGACGAGGAACACCAGGTCCAGGATCCCAGTCAGGCCGATTTCTCTGCAATCAACCTCCTGGCCAATGCTACGACACAGCTGTCAATGACACAGGATACAGACTCTGATTTGAAGCAGATATCACTGCCCCAGTTGTTGAACTGATAGTGGCAGGTTTAGGTTGTTCACACCACCAGTACTTCACAGGCTTGTATGCACTGTACCTAGATTACCCTTAGGGAAGCATTAAAATTCCATGGTGATTTTATGTGCCACCTCAACATTTGAGGAAGGCTATTGGAAAAAACATGTTTGAGGAACAATGAAGTATCCCAACAAACCAAACCCTGACACACCTAACTTGGCTGTCTAATAAAACATCAGTTGTAAAGTTTGTCTTTTAGTGGATAACACAGTATGCTTTATATGACGAAATCAAACTTCTCTTTTTGTCAATTGTGATTGGCAATTTGAAATTACTGATGCATAGGATTGAAATTGATGTGCTGATACCAGATGTGTGTGTGTGCATGCGGGCATGCATGTTTCTGTTTATTTGTGTTGTTTTTGCATGAATTTATCTGTTTCATGGGGCTCATAGTTGTTGCTATCTGTCAGTTTGTGTTGAACATTTTTGTGTTGACTAGTCAGTGTTTGCTTGTTTATATGATATTGTGCAATAAGATAGAATAAATATAGATTTAGAATTAGTATCATGATGTGGTAAGGTAATGCAGGCTGAAGTCGTTATCAGATTGGGTTGTTCTAAACTTGTAAATATACAGAATGAAATCATGAATGGATACATATGCAGGGCTCCAGATAAAGGCCGTATCGCTGTATGTACGGATAGAAAATATGCACGATACGGTAGTTTAAAATTAGAAAACGTAACAGATACGCACCACAGCAATGGTGTACGGTCTTAGAATCATTTACAGATGTATTTATTTGTTTTATTGTTTACTGACCTGTTTACACAAGAGTAGCGTGTTGTGGTGCATATATGAAACGAAACACAAGATTACTGATACTCCATTAAATTCCATTCAGAACTCTAAATGTACACTTAAGGTTTTCCAGTACTCCTGTATTGACCAAATAAGGAGTACTTACTCCTGATGTTGAAAAATTATCTGGAGCCCTGCATATGGAGTATCGTGATGTCAGATGATAATTTGCATTGCATCAATATGTCAATGAATTGGGAGGCTTATGTGTAGTGTACAAGATATATTTAAAAAATCACCCCAAAACCCATGGCAAGCAAGCTGATGGGATCAATGACCAATGAACATATCAATTCAATACAGAGTTCTTGTGCTCAATGTTCTAGGATGTAGCAGAGAAATGATGCTTGCAAATATCCCATTTCAAAATGACATTGGAAATCTGAAAAAATATATATCTCTTGATGTGTTAGAACTTGAGTGAAATACCCCTTTGTTATTAATAGCACTGGCTATTGTAGCCAGATCCATTCAGACCCTGAAACAAATATACCCAATACAGTCTATGCAAGTCTAGAATACGTGGCAAGTCTACATTACCACAGTTTCTGAAAATGAATGAATTCTCTTGGCTGCTCTTTATTATTATTTATTTGGTTTTTTCTTTTGTTAATTTCAGAGACAAGATGTTAGTCTAACGGTTTGTGTATTTAGATCTTTGTTGACTTCTGTTATACTCAGCTTATAATTTTCCATCTTTACCCTTTAAAAAAGTAGGGAAACTTCATTTTTAATTAACAATTGAAAAAGTTGGGAGATATATCGGAGTCAGTCAATGTTGTTATGACCATAGTTGTGTGTACAGTAATCGCTCTTGAAAGATGATTGGTGTATGACGTGAAATTTGCATGTGTACGATTTTCATTTTCAAACAAAAATAACGTATAGAAACAAACATTAACAACTGTGTGATGCAAGATGATTTATGGTCTACAGTGATTTATCGACCTTGAAAACCGTAAAAATCAAGTATGACACCCCATGCACGTATGGGGCTGCTGCGTTGTTCAAATGCATCCCATGCGTTGTGTTTAGGGGTGGTGATAAAGAGAAATGATGTCAGTCTTTGAAAAAAAGTTTAACGCTTATACTTCCTATCTGAATTGAAAGTTCAGGTTCCCCTACCTTTTTTTCTACCCCTACCCAAGAGTATATAACTAGAAACATGTTCCCGCTACTCCACATAGCCATCCAATGATGGGTGACGAAGGAAGGTAGTGGATACAAGCCTGTGAAGTATTTATGATTGGCTGTTTATCACCCCAGGTGTTGAACTGATGGTTTTAACCTGTTGAACACATCCTAGTTTTATACAGTCAAAATCCCTGTGAATCCATAACAGAATGTTCCTGTATATCTCATGTTTGTCACATTATGCCAACTAAACTGGGGATCCGGGTGATTGAGTGATTGATTGGATCGTTGTCGATGCCATCAGCCTCTGCTTTACTTGTAACAGCTGATACATTACTGTCTGCACCCTGAGTCAATACTCACTCAGTCACGCACAACACATCATCATGTAACTCGTGGCTGTGGCTCGCTGTCCTGGTTAGAATATTGATCTTCAGTAACCAATGCTTGTCGTAAGAGGTGACTAACAGGATCGGGTTGTCAGGCTCGCTGACTTGGTTGACACATGTCATCGGTTCCCAATTGGGCAGATCGATGCTCATGCTGTTGATCACTGGATTGTCTGGTCCAGACTCATTTATTTACAGACCGCCGCCATATAGCTGGAATATTGCTGAGTGCATCGTAAAACTAAGCTCACTCACTCACTGTCGTTGCTTTGAACCTTTGGTTTGCCATTGTCTACATTGTCAGAACATTCACAGATACAATTTGGTCGACTGACATAAAATAACATTCCCTCTTCAGACTCTGGTACTTACAGTTTTGAACTTTTGACAAGTTACAGTTGTTTGTTAATTGAAAACCATGCTTGACATTTCCTTTACATCTATCAGAGGTGCTTCAGGTAGATTATTGAACAAGATGAACTACTGAGTATTTACTTTATTTACTCACATAATACTTTGTCTTCGCTTTCGGTTATGATTACTATTTTACCTCCAGTCCAGTCTGGGGGTATTTTTGAAACAAGGGTAGACTTTTCTTAAAAACAGTTCTGCCTAAAATGTTGTTTTAGCCGACTAAACCCAGCTGCATATACTGTAAACCTTGAAAGTTTTGCTGCCAGGAAAGTACTGACACACATTCATGATACTGATTTGGCAGAACCAACCACAAATGAATACTATAAGGAAGTAATTCCCTTCCACAGATTGTCAAACCAGCTAGTGTGTGATTAAATGAATGAACCCTGAACTCCTGTTCTTAGACTAAACAAAATAATACTGTTAGATACACAGGCTACTTCAAACTCTATCTTTTTCAGCTACAAGACATGAATATATCATGCCCAAAAAACACACACTGGGTTTCCTCATTATACAAACTGTTAAATAGGCTACTTCAAACCTCCATTTTTCAGCTAAAAGCAGCTTCTATCTTTTGTAATTTCATCATCAATATATGGTGCAAAACTTTCCAGATTTAAAGTGTTCAGGTTAGATTTAGTACTGTATTATTCACTGCAGTAAAGTTCATGTATATGTGATTCTGTATTAGATCAGTAAATACAATTCAGTAAGACAATGGCAGTACTAAGAAAATTGCAAATTAACATACAGGTTACACAAGTGGCAATAATTCTCTTCATGTGCTACCATCTTGTTTACATCTACTCAGCATATGGCTTCAGTATTGGGCTATGGCAGGATTTGCACTTCATGGATGTTAGCATTGTTTTGGATGGTACTTGTCTTTTGTGGTCATAACCTCTTAGGAGGTTTTACAGTTGTTCTTGAGTATGAGGATATGTTTTTTACTGGTATGACTGAGTATGAAGTTTTACTTTGTTTTTAAGATTCAAGTTGGCCATTTCATAGTCAAATACATTATATGAGACTGTCATGCACATTACACATAATATTAAATTTTATATTGATGTTGTTTCACTCAGTGGTTCATAAGTCAGATACTCCTCAGTTTTGGTGGACATGGGAAAACCTCTGGGTCACAGTGGTTCGTTTATTGGAGTTAAGGGTAAACACCCTCAGTTTTACTAGTCTGGTCATTGCTTACAACAACCTAGCTAGTAGGGTAAGATTAAACAGCTCTATTTTACGAGTCAACCCATTTCTTACAACAACAATGGCTTCACTAGTTGAGTTGTGGGCAAACACCTTCGGGATTTACTGTGTCAACCAAACCCTCAGACTTGCGTTAGGGCATCATTTTTTTTATGTGTTTCACGTAGCCACCAAATTCTGAACATGGGTCAGTCGGTCTGTGAAAAAAAAAAAAACTATTAAAAATTTTAATAATGACAAAATTATCCGAATAATGTTCTTGATTCTCAACTGTTGTAATTCTTATTACAATCTCTCGGACTTGTGGTAGCGACTGATTAAAACATTTTAGATAGATAAACATTTTATATGACAAGGCAGTATGTTTTAGGCGGTGTTGGCAATATAATTAGAAGGGTCGGTCGGGCGATGAGAAACACAAAAAATAATAATGCTGCCCTTATAAGTCATGCCCAGAGTTGGGATCATTATGCTTTTGTTATAAATACATGGCCACATTTCATTCTTTCACTTGACCTATACATGCACCACTACTACACTGCATGCCAACCGTATGTATTCATGTATGATGGAAATGTGTAATGCTTACATACTCCTGAAGTGTTGAGTCTTTGCAGGGCATTTAGAAGTGATCAACATAAGGGCAAGAATGTTATGGATGTCAACTTCTTTATTGTGACCCTTCACAATAAACAAGTTGACATCCATAAAAATTCTTGCCTTTCCTGAAGTGTTGATGATGTGGTGTCTCAGACCTGCATCACTTGAGCTTCACTCTCACCTTGGACATGTCATGATGTAACTGAAATATTTTTGATAACATTACCCAAGTCATTCTGTTGCCTAGCAATATCTGCAGGTTTGAATTTGTGTTCACGTTTGTGTTTATTTGGACATCCTTGTGTTAGGATTAGGTGATTAGGAGTCCTTTTATGACAAATAGTAACTAAGAATATTGCCAAAGTAATCAACTCAGGATTCATAGACTGAAAGTCAACTATAACAACTAGTTAGCCAAACAAAAGGTAAATTCATTCATTTATGGCAGGTTGTGTTCATAACGTTAACGAAAGTGAATGAGAGCAGCTTAATAGCACACTGTCAACTCATTGCTTGAAGTCACAGGACAGTATCATGTTGTTAAGGGGATAATGCTGCACTTTCAGAATCCATAAAAGTATATATGAAAGCACCCGTTAACTGTATGGTCAAAATTTTGCAAACATTAAATTATTACATTTTCTTGCAGATGAATATTTTATTCATATATGGTTTAACTATTGTTACAAGTTGGAAGTTCTATTAATTTTGCTTATATGCAAATATGTTATGGTCAGTGATCTGGCTATTTATTTCAGTAGTAGAGTTTATCCTTCAGAAGTTTTTAAGTTCACCCAGTGCAACAAAATGCACACTAACCACTTGTTTGACTGGAAAATTTGAAAAAAAAATCACCTTAATTTTACAAATACCCGTTTTTGATAAAATTAAATACTCTGAAAACCGACCACCAAACATTCTTGACTGGAAACTCAATTCACAACAGATTTTTGTCTCATTGATAAACGTCTACTTATGAAATGTAAGACTCAGGATCAGAATGCAAATGCGAAGATTTACTGAGCTAAATTCTGAATACATGGTATACAATGTTTGTGTTTAGTATTATATCTTATATATGTATTCTTGTATATATGTATGTAAATATATGTATGATAGCATGAAGATGAATATAAATATGAAACTATGTTGATGCATGTGTGTGATTCTTTTATGGTGTTCTATGTGGATGATAAACAAAAAAAACCAGAATTGCTTACAGCAAATTGATTATGATCGGCTTTTGTCAAAAGTGTTTAACACTGACAGGTCCGATACCACATTTTCTGGCCAGTTGCAGAAATGTTTGTTTGACATGATTTTTTTCACAGCATTTCGACTATATTTTCTTTTATCTGAAAAAATCTAAAAATCTTTAAAAAGTAAACTTGATTCTAATGAACCACATGACCTCATTTTGCTCCCTGTGGTTTCAAGTATGAACAGAGGGTAACAGTTAGTGAGTGAGTAAAGTTTTACACCCATTTCATCAATATCACGGAGGGGAACATTAGAAACTGGCTGCACACATTGTACCCATGTGGGAAATCGAACCCCGGGTGTTCAGCATGATGAGCGAACGCTTTAACGACTGGGCTACCCCATCGCTCAAGAGAGGTTAACATGCCATGGTGACTAACATGTATGATAAGGCACATCCAACACATGGAGTGTGCAAAAAGTTGGAATTTTGAGCAAAACAAAATTTGGTAGTATTTTCAAATCATTGAGTTCCCCATCCTCGATAATCTCCAGGGTTTATTACCCACGTGGTCAACGTATGGGTAGTTGCATACTAATCTCGTACGTTACACGAGTGTCGTATCGCGTTGACCTGTGTCGTAACGACTTGACATGAGATTCTAGCGATTTGATTGGATAACCGATGACCACTCATTTAGGTCACGTTCAGACGGAACTACTGTTTCATTCATAACAAACACGTGAATTCATTCATTCTACAACTTATATGCATTGCGAACGTTGCCGTATCGCTGTTTAATTGTGAGTCGAACTGAGGCATTATATGCGTTGAAAAACATAAACGCAAAGTTTCCATCAGTGAGGTTAGCCGAGTGAAGCACTGCAAACCAAGAAATGGGGTGCTACGGAGTATTTTAATGTAGGAGGCTGTATGAGGCGATGACAACTGACATGCGTCGTGACGTCGGTTACCAAGGGGGCAGACGAGCAAGGCGTAGTGACGTCATTACAGTGTGACGTCATGCAAAAAGTGTACTACAGAACAACATTCTTCCGCAACCTCTTTATGAAACCGGTTTCGGTTTGAAGCCATAACAATAACAAAAATACGCTATTTTGTCAATTTAATATGCATGTAAGACATGGCTTTCGCTCGGTCAGATACCATAGGAAGGACACTCGTTTCATATCATTCGTATGTAATGAGACCGAGTGTAGTATTCTCTATATACGTTACGATCACTCTCCACTATACCCTGGAGGCATCCACGGCTTGATGATTTTATTACCTCCCTTGGCTGGCTTTTTATCCAAACAGGTGTCTACGCTAGGAAGTTGAGCGAACCAATCACAACTCACTTTTGCTACTTAAATTATCTAACCGTTTAAACTTGGCAACACAATTGATGCAGAGGTACTCTGAAAGAGGTAGAAGGAGTTCTTTTATATATTTTTTGAAAGTTTCAGATCTGTCAATTTGTATTATGTCCTCAAAAATCTGAGTGGCACTGGGAACATACTTTCGCGACTGCGACCGTTATCTTTGTTGACACTGGCAAGCTCGGATGTAACGGCGGCTTAGCTGATTGGCTACTGTGAGAATGTGGAGCCAGCAAAGGGAGGTAATAAAATCATCGGGCCAAACCGTGGATGCAGCCAGGGTATAGTGGAAAGTGATCGTAACGTATACCCTGGAGATTATCGAGGATGTGAGTTCCCAAACTGGAGCATAAATGATCAACAATCAACCACTGGTTTGCCTGACCCAGATTCCATTATCTACAGGTCACCAAAGTGTAGCTGTAGTGTTGCTGACCGTGGGGAAGCAGACACTCATACACTGACCCCTAAACAGAAATAATGACTCAACACAACTTTAAAAAATGTTTATCTACACATGTAAACCTGTACACCATGTCAATAACATGTTAAATAATGATAACAAAACTAATGACAACAGACAGGACAAAATTATCCTTGATGATAGTTTACAAAACCTTTACACATCTGTACATTGAAAGAGAAGTATCATTATAATGCACAGATGATACTTTCTTCAAAGAAAGTTCTTTGGTAGCCACATTGAAAACTATTTTGAAAAAAATGTTTGATTTTTAAATTCATGCATTCAACAATTATATAACACTACATGTCAAGTCTCTTCATAGGTCCTGGTATCAATGAGACCATGTCTCCTCTGCAAAGCCATGACACCAATTATGACTTTGAAATTTTACAGACATTTCTGAGGACTTTGAGCAGAATAAGCTGAGCTGGTTGAGATGATCCTTGTTCAATTTGATCATAATTGTTAAAAGATGGACGAATCACAGTGGTCACAGACCCTTGGTCTGTCTGGTTCAGGCCTAGTCTATGAACAGGCTGACATGGTATATTTGTACCAGCAGATCATCAACTAGAACTTTGCTGAATCACTCACTGTATTGATTTATTGATCCTTTATTGTTGCTTTTTCACTGAAAAATATATACAAAATGGATTTCCCTAAAAATACAAGTATCAACAAATAATAAAGAACAAAAGTGGTAATGCTGAATGGTTGAAATGATGATCATGATGATGCTTAATGCCACAGCAGTATAACTTCACTGATGACTTCAAGGTATGTATTTGCAACACAAGGACACACACATACATGAATATTCATTTTGGCATCGACGTAATGCTTTGAATGCACTAAATGCATCACAGATAACAGGTTTTGGTCCAGTAATGATGACTAGTTGTACTTGGACAACAGACATCTGAAACCGACTTCAGTCCTCACACTAGATGTCTGATATCAGACATCTAACACCAGACATGAGAATCTGACAACAGACTGACATCAGACAGTAGACATCTGGTAAATATCAGACACCAGACATCTAACAAACATCATTCATATGACACCAGATACTATGGAGGAGAAAATGACGGTCTGGGCCATACTAATCACTGAGATCTGGAGGAAGAACAAGATAAAGCACACTTCTTCCTGGTTAAAGGGCTGAACTGACACGTCCTGTTGCTTCATCTCAAACTGGTCTAGGCCAGTTCTGCTTACAGGCCACCTTCATCGTCTCATGCCTCCATCTTCTGGGAGGCCCTGCTCCAGCTGCAGCTCAGTAGCCGAAGAAAGCTGGCACCTCATCTGAGCTGTACAGCACCTTGTCTATGTGCTTCATCATCTTCTGAGCTGCATGTCTGAAACAACAAGTACCACACATCAGCATGGCAGTGCTACATATATTCATTATTGTCCAGTGAGTGTGTGAACGAAGTACATGTAATTCCTTTCATTTAAAACCCCTGATACTCCCCATATATCAATGGCTGGATCCTAAGTGAATGAACATAAATCGTTAATTTATTCTAAGTATACAAAGTCTCAAGTGTGTTTTTTAACACATCTGGAAGTCCTGAAATAATATGAAACATTTCACAAAAGTAATGAGAGGAATACTGGCTGCTCTTGATTCAGAGACCAGTGCTTAGATAAAGATATGACGCAGGACCCTGTAAGATCATACATACTGGGCTTGCACAGTGAAGTCAGTTTGGGCATCTACAACACAAAGCTTGACTGCAACCAGTGTATGAAATAAGGCCTGTCCGACCGCCCGAGACAGGTTAGATTTCAGACAGATGGTCTAGATTTACAGCCAGCCAGCCCAAAGGTCTGGTAAAAAATTTAGATGTTATATACATCTGAGTATTATCTAGGTGTCTGGTCTGGTTAAATCCATTTTGGACTGGTAACATTTTGAAGTTACCAGTCCTAATGTCTGGCTGGGTATTTGTCTTATTTCATACACTGCTGTAACACTGTTTTGCACAATATTTCTGCATTTTAAATGGAATGAATGATCACATCATGATCTCTGTTCCATGTAGTCTCCAAGCTTCCCTCCAGTGTTAGTACACTTACTTTGAGATTCCCTTGCAGTACAGCATCCTGAGCACTTGTAGCCTCTTGCATCCCTTCCTCAGATACTTGATGGCCTTGTCACTGAAACACATGCTTCAGTGAGTGAGTGTCTTGTTTTATAACATGATGAGTGAGTGAGTGAGTTTAGTTTTACGCCGCACTCAGCAATATTCCAGCAATATGGCGGCGGTCTGTAAATAATCAAGTCTGGACCAGACAATCCAGTGATGAACAGCATGAGCACTGATCTGCGCAATTGGGAACCGATGACATGTGTCAACCAAGTCAGCGAGCCTGACCACCCGATCCTGTTAGTCGCCTCTTACGACAAGCATGGGTCACTGAAGATCAATATTCTAACCCGGACCTTCACTGGTATTATGGCATGATGAGTGAGTATGGTTTTACAACATTTTTAGCAACATCCCTATCTTTTCACCAAATGAATTCATAGCTTGATTAGTTATATAGAATACTTTATAATATTTGAGCTTTTGTGTCTTTATTTGATAGGTTTGTGTATTGTCAAAGATACTGTTTTGCAATTTATGACATGTTTTAAATTGGGTTCATCCAAGTGGACCAGATAAGACCCTTATCTTACCTCCTCCTTTATCAATAACATATGTTCTTTATTTCACGAAGCCAATATTTCATCACTATTTCAATAAACTATTTCATCAAAGTGATCTAATTGTTTACAAATGACACAATCTAATACCACCTAGACTAAAGGAAAGTTTACCATGCCAAATCAAACAAAAACATCTTTTGTTTATACGGATTCGAGAAAAATTCCTCAGTAAAAAAAAGATCAGATTAGTGATATTGTTTTTAAAACATAATCTCAGTGTGTTCCACAGTGTGAGTAAACTTGTCTCTGAACTTATTGCAACACTTTATCTTGCAGTTAAACCTATGCATGCAAATACATTTTAGTAATTACACAAGTATTTTTCAGTGGAGCAAAAAATATTTCTTGCTTTTCAAATCTGATTTCTTTCCAACAATCATTTCTGAATTGATATACTAGCTTTTGAAAATTTGGCCTGAGCCTTACTTCTCTGAAGTTCTCTACCAGACCACATACCTGATGAGGAAACAGCCACTGATGTCCAGCTCAGCCAGATAGTGACACACACCAGACAGATACTGCAGGCTGAGGTCCGTCACCTGGAGACAAGGGGAGATAATGCATACTGTACTATATTATACCTCCAGCTTGGTAGATGTAAATGTTGGTTTTGTACATTAAGATCAGATAAAAGCATTACTTGCTATTCTTGATGTAAAGTTTTGAATCATAAAATACAAATTTTACTCAATTTTAGCTCTTTTGTACTCTGATCTGATAACTCTCTCCATCAAGACTGAGTTTAGTTTTACCCCGCTTTTAGCAATATTCCAGCAATATCACGGCGGGGGACACCAGAAATGGGCTTCACACATTGTGCCCATGTGGGGAATCGAACCCGGGTCTTCGGCGTGACAAGCCAACGCTTTAACCACTAGGCTACCCCGCCGCCCCCTCTCCATCAAGATCTGACATGAGGTGAATCCTGAGTAAACTTTGACCATGTAATCAAAATATAGGATGCAATGGGTTTTAATGAAAAAAAGATGTCAGCTTGAAAAATGATTCAGTTTCATTATTTACCATAGAAATAGAAAGCCCCAGATGACATGGTGCTCAGAAACAACAGGCTGTATAAGACATCTACTGCATGCATGTGCTGAGTTCAGTATTTTCCGTTTAGAACTGCAACTTATGTTCATTTACAAGATGCACTTACTGGCAAACAAGGATAAGTTGAACACTGACCTGACAATTGACCTGTATTAGCATGTATGAGTGACGCCCACTGGCGCGCTTGCCATTGTTAGTGATGGGGTCCCAGGTTGTTCGCGATCATGTGTAGTGTGATGGGTGAAGCAAGGCGCAAGGCGTGTGCAGCTACGCGCAGAATCAATTTCATTGTCATGCAATGCAATGGTGCACTAACCTACATCTGCTCTACCTTTCACAAACCAAATGGGTTTGCTCATTGCCGGCACCGCCTACTTCTCGTAAATGCGTTCTCTGCGCCGGTCCAACTTATCCTTGTTTGCCAGTAAATAAGATATGCTTCTCTTTTTAAATCTCCACACTGAGCATGTGTACAATTATGGCACTTGACACTACTAAAGAACTGTAACACCCACCAGCTTGCATCCAGCCAGGTTGAGCACTGTTAACATTCGACAACAGAAAGCAAGGTTCTTGATGGCTCCATCCGTTATTTGCTGAAATCAAATTTATCAGTGTTGACTATTTAGTGAATAAACTATATGACCCATGGTAATTTCAGGAGAATCTGTCCCTCATGAATTAACACATTAACTGGAAACCGTATATCACATTTATTTCCTGAGAGAAAGATAGACCATTATTTCAAGTTGATTACCATGATAGCCTTGTTTAAAATCAGATCTGCATTCTGTGATGATCAAAACAAAGTATTCTAAGGTTCATAGGAGGTAATTTATTTAAAGAGATCCGTGGGTCAGAGGGTTTTGATGCACTCATGTTGTGAAAATATTTACCCTCCCCCTAATAATTGTCATATTTTGAGTGACCCTCCTGCTGTCCTTGTGTTTTCACACATTAGCCAGACCAATTTTATTTCTTGTTTTACGGATTTTTGTCCTCAGAAAACCTAAAGGCAGGAGGGAAAATCTTTTTAAAAAAATCACCAGTCAAATCAAAAACCCACATGAGTTTCCACGTTAATTCTTTTGGTTTGTTTATATCAACTAAAAATAAGTTGAGTGAGTTTAGATTTCACACTAATTTCAAGAGTATTTCACTTATATCACATTAACATTAGGATTTTATTTTTTGAGCGGGGAAAATTAATTTTTATTTTTTTTCTTATCCTTGAAAAAATACTACTGGCGGATCCATAAAACTAGAAATAAAATTGGTCTGGCCTTAAGCTAAAATGTCATGATGAAACTGGAATACTATTTAAAGCAGAGTGAAAACCACTCACTCACTATCACTCATCCACTCATTGACTTGTCCATCACTTACCATGCAGTGAGACAGGTCAAGTCTCTGCACCTCCTTACACTGCTGAGCAAACTTCTGTAGTCCCAGGTCAGTGATGCCCATACACTCGGACAGCGTGACATCCTGGAGCCGAGTGTTGTTACCCAGAGCTGACAACCCCTGCAAAACACCATCATCATTAATGTACACTCACAAGCAATATGTCCACCATTCAGGAAACCAAAAGCTTTCAATGTCAATCAGTGTAGCAAAAATGATTTTCATGACATTACTGTAATACGAGAATTGAGAAGAATTGGCATGGAGACTTGGTAAACATTGTAGAAATATATCTTTTTATCACCCTACCATGATCTTTTATCCTTATTTTCATTTTGTAAAAAAGATACATAAACCAACTCGTAGAGGTGTCTATGCCTAAGGCTTCATGTCAAACTCCTGTACCTACCTCACATAAATATTGCAATTATAAACATATTGGACACCTGAATTGCTCACCTCAGTTTCAACTACATATGATAGTCAACATGTAAAACACTACAGCGCTATGAACATTGATCATGAGACAATTACATAACGTTGAAGTCTATGGGATTTCACGGCAATTTGAGAAACACTATGTTGTATCAACAAATATGGGGCAATACTGCCAACTTCCACCAAGGGAGTCTACTCTTAGTTGCAACAGAAACTTGAAAACTCTAAGTACTGCATCTGTGACTGCTGTGACGATCATGTGACATAATGTTCTGCTTATTATTGATGTTATAATGACTGTATTACATATGCAATGATTCCATACTGGACAATAGAAATTCTGTGTATACACTTCAAAAGATTGTTTTGTGCAAGATCTGTGTTTGAGCTTCAGAAAAGGTTGCTGCAGAAAAATCACAAAAGTGACAAGTAAAATATGAAAATAACTTTTGAGTTTTAAGATGCAAGCTCCCCATGTGGGTCACTGACAGATTAACAAGCTGTAACCAATTAAAAATTATACAGTGGCACACAAAATTATTTAATTTATATTTCGACCCCACCCCTATATGAGAATTCTGCAACACATGCGGTAATTTGCAGTTTTAATGCAGAAATTACCGCATGCTAATGCCGCAACTTTGCCACACATGCAGAGTATTGGGATGCGGCATTTATGTGGAATTTTAGTGGCATGAAAACAGAAACAAATTAACATGAGGCCCTAATTCCGTAAATCTACCACAAAAATGCCGCAGATATTCCGCACGACTTTACCGCAGAAAATCCGCAAGTTTACCGCGGAAATGACGCATAACTGTAACTATAAAATATCCGCAAGTGATTGCCGCAGAAATGCCGCATGAGTAGATGCTGGTTTGCCACGTATTTTCCACAGAAAAGCCGCAAGTTTACCGCATGTATTTGCAGTCGAAAATCCGCGAGTGAATGAGATGATCCATGGTAACTGATGGCAAAATTCCTAAAACATATAACCATTAGATAAACATATACATCCTACTGATGTTATACTGAATGACGTACCTGGTCAGCACAGTTGCAGCCAGAGAGGTCGAGTGAGATGAGACTGTGTGTCTGCCCCAGCAACTCGATCCCAGCCTCGCTGATGTGCTCGCAGAAACACACACTCAGGTACGTGATATTGTGACACCTGGGCCATGGAGGAATGAAGGAGTGAAGGAGTGAAGGAGTGAAGGACAGCATGTATTTAACAACTGTAATTAATTTAATTTAATTTAGCTCTTGTGACCTTCTAACTGCAAGGATAATATATAACCAAAGGAAATCGGCTGATAAATTTAACTCCAAAAGTATAGAAACACTGCATTTAAGAAGAACCAGGTAATCTGCTGCTGATAAATTTTACTCTACAATTAAAGGATGAAAAACAAGTGTCCCCAGCCACTAAAGAATGGAATATCTATATTTACTATTTTTTATTTTTTGGTCACATACAAGATGCTTGAAATAACTGGTGTCTGCATAATCACCCAATGTAGGCTGTCAACATAACTGAAAACATTGGGTACAATGTTTTATGAGATATCGCTTTTAAATAAGTTTAAAAGTGGTCAAAGTGTCGTGGTGACCTTGAAGATAAGGTCAAGGTCACCCAAATGGACTGGTGTCTGGGTAATCCCCCAATGTAGGCTGTCACCAAATGTGAAGACATTGGGTACCACAGTTCATGAGATATCACGTTAACAAGAATCGGGACGGACGGATTGATGGACGGACGCCGCTGAATACATAGTCCCCTGTTCCAGCGGGGGACAGTAAAGTATTTCACAATAAAACATTATTTGAAAGTAAATAAGGGAAAGATGTATTTAGCGTTGAAAAGTGAAATGTGTCTTGTCCCTTAATATGTTAAAATAAAATTGCAAAATATGTAAGCCCTTAAGTCTCCAGATACGTATTTGAGCCATTGAGAATTGATTTATGTTATCACTATGGGTATTGGTATATTGCATCTTTATATCGGTACTTGGAACAGAAATCTTGTTTGTGCTTCCCCAAGTGTGTTCCATGTTCCTTAAGGTCACATCAGTGATATACATGTCTCAGTGACAATGAGAGAGATGATACTATTCTGGAGATCAGACAATACTGAGCATACCAGCTTTTGGTACAGTGAACATTGATTCTCACCTCTTATGCAGGTTGACCATGGCCATGTCGCCCACCCTGATGCAGTTGGTGAGGTTCAGCTCCCGCAACTTCGGGGCACATGACCCCTCAACTAGATGCCTCACCCCTGTGTCGGTGATCCTGTAGAGAGATGTACTTTGTTATGGGTTTCTGTAAGGATCAAACTAAGTCTTACAAATACAAAGGTGCCAATCCCAACCTGTGGCAGTTAGGATTAGCTGGTATAATTGAGTTTTAAACTTAAATTTTGGTTCTCAGACAATGACCCTTACGAAAGTGTGGTCAGGCAGCCTAGCTCCTGAAGGACTGGATTCTTTCCCATAATTTTTGCATGGCCTCCACCAAATATATGTGACAATTTTACATGCCCCACTTCTCTTTTTAACAAATGAACAATCTTGAATATGTCCAAATTATTTTTCAAGGCCCCTCCCATATATTTCAAATTTCAGCAAACCACGGCTCTTTTACTGTGGTATTTTGCTATGCTTCACAACACCAAGCCTCACCTCCAAATCTTATCGACTACCTCCCTAAAATAAATGACCCATCCCTAACTATGAAAGCATTATGATGTCATCATTGTATAATAACATGATAGAAAGAAAGAAATATAGCAAAACTTCAGATTGTCATTTATATTTTACGGCTGTAAAGATGTATCTATCTAGAGATGTCATCGAAATTCTGAGGAAGAAAAATGTGTTATAAACTGCCAATCTGCAGACATCAAGATGATCACAATGCTCAGTTATCACAGACTCCAATACAAACACAAAATACAAAAACAGACAGATATAGGTGATCCTCATCCCTAACTCTGCCAGAGCAAGTACCTGACACAGTCGGCGATGTTGACAACGGTGAGGTTCTTGCAGCTCTGTAGTGCCTTCATGGAGACATCGGTGATGCGCTGGCAGTCTGTCATGTAGAGGTGTTCCAGGCTCAGACAGTTCTTCCCAATGGCCTTCAGACTGACATCCGAGATCCGGCTGTTGCCTGTACAGTCAAATACATCTGGAGTTTGAACTTGCTCACTTAAATAATCTTTACACAGCCCAGATAGGATAAAACATAAACATACAAATAAATCAATTTAGTGAGAGAAAAAAACATGCCATCCATGTATCTTTACAAAATGATCTTTGTGAATGAGACAAGATTCTTTCCTGGATGGATATTTTTTCAGTTCCTTGGTGGATGTTTTTCTACTACCTCTTTCAAGGGGGCAGGTTTTTGTTAGCTTCTGTTTTATATCTTATTACTACACCAACAAATGACACTGGGCCCCTATTCTCGAAACGTTCGTAGCCCTAAGAATTCGTAACTTTGATCGTAGCCAATGTGTTAAGAATGGACTTAAGAAGTTCGTAGGGCTACGAACGTTTCGAGAATAGCTAGCCTGGTGTATTGAATCAGTAAGTACTATCATCAAGTGAATGTACTAACCTGTCATGTGTACAGGTAAGTATAAAGCCTTCTTAGTTTTGAAATAGCTGACACGTCACCAAGAGGGTGGAAATGGGGTGGGCCAATAACCCAAACCAAGTTTCTATAAATCTGCCATGAAGGTACCAGTATACGAGTCTACAGAAGAACTGAAATATGCCACTAAACAACATGTCAGTCAGCATATTGACTGAATTCTATGACAATTACACATATATGAACGCATATAATCTTACCTTCGACCTTTATCATCTTGAGCCTCTTGGATTGGGCCAGCTTCTTGAACGCTTCATCAGTGAGCAGTGGGGAGCCCAGGAAGGACACTGTGTGGATCTTGTTACATTTGTCAGCAAGGGCCTGCAATAGAAATGGTTGTTAATGCATTAGTTAGTGTACAACCAGAACCCTGGGATCCAAATATTTTGAAAGAGGTAGAGACTTATAGCAAAGCCAAACAAAGAATAGATTTCTATTATTCAATTATACAAAAGAATCATTTCAGAAGATTTTTAAGCATTGTTTAAAGTTCAAACAGAAGAATGTCCTTGCATAAAGCATATTTTCTTAAAAATAGTAGGAAGAGACAGTTTGAACAATTGGTGAATGAAAGCTGCTAAGGATTAACATAAATCAAGCACAAAAACTCTTGAACTCAGATGAGCCGAATCCATGGTTGTTTCAAACTCAGTCCGACAAAAATAACTTGCAAATTTAACACAATGCTGTTGAATTCTTGGTTGTCGCTCACTCAATAAATAAAAAAAAAACCTGAGCCCTAACTAGAATTGTAATAAGTATGATGACCTAAAAACATTGAGACTCGATACTCCAAAGACAAGAAACTGTTAACTGTCCCATAGGTGGATCCAGACGGGGATGTGAACCCCGCCTCTTGTCCTGAAAGTTTATTAAATGACCAACGAGTAAAAACGAGTATAAAAAGTTGTATCTGCCCGTGTCCTAAAGAAAATGCACACAGACGCATATGGTAATAAGACGAAGTCTGATGTATGGAATACCGGAGAAGTCAAAATTATCTCTGAACCAAAGCAATTTTAGACTGTGAACAGAGTTTGAGAGTTTGACAGTAGTTACTTCACCCTTCCCTCTCTTTGGCAACACTTTTGCACTGACAATGTGAAATGTGTAAACCTTGTGTAAGCACATTTGATGAAACACCGAGAACAAGTAGGGCTGGTCTAAGTTAACGCTCATCACGTACCGCACGTGCATTTGTTTCACTGTTCCATCTACTGCGCTTACCCCCCTTGTAATACAAACCAATAATAGCAATTTGAATCTATGATCATTTGTTAAACAACTTTTATCTTAAGTTGAATAAAATTCTGAGATTTAAATGTTCATTTGGCAAGGTAAAATTATGAGGATTCGCAATCTTAATTTCACTTAATTTGATTTACTTTTTTGTTTAAAGTGAAATTCATCGGTACGATTTCACTGCAAACAGACTATAATAACCAACTTACAATGACACATTCATCATTGAGTGTAGGGAACTCGTTGAGAATGATTGTCTGTAGATTGCTGCAGCCATTGGACAGGTTCTTGAAGCCTTGGGGCGTAATCTGATGACAAAACATAGGACATACTGGACTTGAACACTTATTAATAACTTGGTTTTAACACATTCCCTCTCTAAAATAGTTGTCATGTCACAGGGGTTCTTGGACATAAAGAAGCTTCTTCATAATGGGATATAATCTGCAACGATTTGCAGGAAATATTGATGTATTGAGCTGGACAGGTACTTCAAACATCAATACAATGCCTCACAACTGATAAACAAATGATAATATTTTTTAGGAGAGCTAAAAACATACGTGGTTATTCTGGGTCCTTGAAGTCTGTTCCTGTGCCAGTAGTATTTGAATCCAGAGACCCCTACATGTCTAACTTTTATATTTGGGTCACAAGGACTGGTAGACTTTTATACTTATGCAAACCCACACTCTGGCACAGTGATGACTTAGCATAGCATCACTGCTAAAGGCCAATTTGCATATCACATGACCAGAATTTTATCTTGTTTAACTGCAATTGTAATTAATGTGCAAGTTTGAACATATATTTGATGTACTCTACATATTGTCTTCCATAAATATATAGATATTGTGATACACAATTACATTATGTATCACGATATATATTTCATAATTTCACATCTTGCAGACTTTGCAATAACAATTTGTTTAGATGGCTAATGATCATCAGTGTAATTTGTCCTGGTCAATTGCAATGCATTGATAATTTGATCAGTTGTAGACTAACATGTGGTCTCTGAAAAGAACTTATTTTACAGAAAATATAATTCTTAAATTATATTAATAAAATATAATGAAAAGGAGCTCAGAAACTTTCTTCAAAGACTTGAATGGGCTGTAGTCTCAGGGTCTGTATGAAAGACTAGATCAGTTGTAACACTGAAAGATCCTCTGGAGATCACACTGAACTCTGACCTGTAGACATCCTGAGAGGTCGAGGTACTCCAGCTTCTTGCTGCACTTCCCTGAGGACAGGTACAGCAGACCTCGGTCGGAGAACTTCACACAGAAGGCCAGGCTGAGGTACTGGAGGTAGTTGCAGTTCCTGTGGATAGTCACAAATGCACCATGATCTCATTACTCACTAGGTCTTTCCTCATGGTAGCAATTGTTATATTTGGGATGACACTTTCTTAATAAAGAAAAGATTCTAGTACTTTTGGCAGTGTATAAAATAAAACAAGTGACCAGTCCTGAACAAACACAGCCTGTCCCAAAAACAAAAACCATGAAAAAGTAGTAGATAAGACGAAGTTCAAACTAAGTTAAGTTTATTTTTTCAGGGGCGGTGGGGTAGCCTAGTGGTTAAAGCGTTGGCTCGTCACGCCGAAGACCCGGGTTCGATTCCCCACATGGGCACAATGTGTGAAACCCATTTCTGGTGTCCCCCGCCGTGATATTGCTGGAATATTGCTAAAAGCGGCGTAAAACTAAACTCAGTCAGTTATTTTTTCAAATATTTCCCCCGACCAAAGGACAGCCTTACTTATTCAATAGACCGTCCTTCACAAAAATAGACCGTCAAGGACGGTGGGACAGGCAATGTTTTATACACTGCTTTTGGGTTTTAGTCCCACCTGGGATTCAAACCCATACTCTCAGAGTATGGCACCATATCACCAGCACATTCATACCTTTCATTAGGGAACAACAATTAAGGCAAAACTGCATTTTACCAGAAACCTTAATTCTGTCATGCTAGAAAGGGACAGTTTCTGCCTTGCTCAGTTACCATTCCTTGTTGCCACTAATATAAGTTCAATCATAAATTGCCTTGATGTATAATTTTGTGGGTTAGTATTGCTGAGACTGGGTTATTTCACTTTAACTTTGGTGTCCAGGTACCATACCACTGATAAACTTCCACTAAGGGGTGAGAGTAGCACGGTTGTTTTGTTTGTTGTTTAACGCCGCACTAGGAAATTTTCCAGCTATATGACGGTGGTCTGTAAATAATTGAGTCTGGACCAGACACCATGTTCACTGTCCTATGCAACTGGGATACAATGACATGTGTCAACCAAGTCAGTGAATCTAACCACCGGATCAAGTTGGTCGCCTCATACAACAAGCATGGGTTGCGGACGACCAATTCTAATCTGGATCTTCACGGGTAAGAGTAGCATGAATAAACTGGACCATGTGAGTGTAGAAGTGATGCAGCACATACTTGGCTATTGCCCGTAACGAAGCATCTGTCAGGTTGGTGTGAGAGATGTTCAGATACAGCAGGATACGACAGCCCTTGGTTACCAGCTTGAGAGTCTCATCCTGGAAGATGTATATCATATTTATAGCAAAGAAATTATTGACAGCACATACTTTGATTCAATATCTGATACATATGGTACATATCTATAGTCTGTTCAATTGCTCCTCATTTGTACCTATCAATATATGGCTAAAACACTGCTGATGTTATGTTTTTATACATAATGTAAAGAGAGATCTAAAAATGTAATCTTGTCATCTTTATTTCATACATTGTTTTATCAATAACAATATCATGACAGATAATTTTAGATAATTTATTAGAACATATACTTCATATATTTCAAGAATAATATAACATAATAATTGTTGCTACTTTCATAGATCCTCTACAATAACATTAATCTCATTTCTCACTTCACATGCGTGAGTTGGGCGGCGGGGTAGCCTAGTGGTTAAAGCGTTCACTCGTCACGCCGAAGACCCGGTTCGATTCCCCACATGGGTACAATGTGTGAAGCCCATTTCTGGTGTCCCCGCCGTGATGTTGCTGGAATATTGCTCTACAAGTGGCGTAAAACCAAACTCAGTCAGTTAGTCATATGCGTGAGTGAGTGAGTTAAAATCAAAGTCACATCAGCAGTATTTGTAGCCTTATAAAAACTATAAAAATTACATATTGCAATAAATACATTTACACTGGGTGGAAGATCATCAGCAACCTAAGTTTGTCCACTTCACCAGGGACCATGGAGACTTACAGCCTATTTATATGCATCAACAGCAGTAATGAAAGAACACTTCAGGAACTTGCTGCAAATATGTGTACAGAAATCAAACTTTTGATGTGGTTTTAGTTTAGATCAATGTTATATTGTGATGCTGTTGGATCATATCCTGTCTTTGGTTGTGATGGCCACAATAGCAGTAATGTCACTCAGTTGTGTGAGCAGTGAACCGAAAGCTGAAATTTGGCAAGTGTAACTGTGTGCATGATTTTTATAACTGTTCAAGTCATCAGTTGAATTTTGTGCTTTATGTGGAAATTTGGGACTCCTAAACATGTTCAAGACAACTAGAAGACAATCAGGAATTCCGTACATCTAACTTCAACACAACAAGGTTCGACGTTATAAACAAAAAAATTAATCTAAAAATACCATTGATTATAAATGTACCTCACACAAAATCTGGGCAGTAGCATCTTACAGATCAGAAATGGTAAAAAATTAGGTAAGTAAGTATATGAAGTGCTGTGAAATAAAAAACATGACTATAGTGGAACCGGCTGCTAGTGGTACTCATGAAGGTTTAATAGCAGGTGATCTGCCTGGTACCCACTGTCAGACTCTCCTTTTAATCAGCATATTGAGCTGAGTTCTAAGCTAGGTCTTACGTCTAGTCCGTTACATTCCGACAGATTGAGGTCCTGTATGTTGCGACACTCGCTGACGGTGATGAAGGTGGGTTTGGTGAGATGTTGGCATCCTCGGAGGTTCAGATGGATTAAGTAGGGGCGGGACTTGAAGAGGAGGCGTGTCGACACTTTGTCTGTTACACTGTTAACAGACGTCACATGTAGGCTGGTTCTTGATATATTATCTACTCCGATATGTTACATATAGGTCACATATATAAAAGTATCATTCCAAGATCATAATTAAATTGTACAATTTGACATGTAGTGGTTTGACACAACCAGTTTTGGATAATTCATTACATTTTTATACTTCTATTTACTCTATGCAATGAAACAGAAATCAATCAAATCAAAATTCCTCAAATATAAAAATTAATTATTTATTGCATTGATAGATATCTTCTTTCAGATTTATCAAGAAACAACACATCCTTTATGCAAGGTTTTAAATCTTTTCTATGTGAAAAACTAAAAACTGAAAACTGTCGTGATTAAAGCAATATAAAAGGAATGCTCAGAAAAATAAACATATGAAATGCAATTTCTGCACTATTGTGACAAAGTCAATGCACTTCTTCACCTAATGTGTCATTAAAATGGCATTGTTTACTCCATATATCTCTCTGCAAGAAAATCTGACAAACCCTCTTGTGACGTAAACGCCAAACATACATTTACCACCTAAATGCTGAAAAAAATCACCAGTCTGAAACAATTTGACTTCATTTCTTTAGGCCAGACCAATTTTATTTCTTGTTTTATGGATTTTTGTCCTCAGAAAACCTAAAGGCAGGAGGGACAAAAATAAAAAATAAAAATCACCAGTCAAAGTAATATTCCTTTTAAATACTAAAGGTATTTTATTTTTGACAATTTATTAAATGTATATGGGGTAAAAAAACAATCCTAAGATTTTTTTTGGTAAGTTTACATCTTTGGCCAATAAAAACATGAGTATTTTATTTTTTGAGCGGGGAAAATTAATTTATATTTTTTTTCTTATTCTTGAAAAAATACGACTGGCAGATCCATAAAACAAGAAATAAAATTGGTCTGGCCTTAGATAGAAACAGAAAACTTTCAACAACAAAAACATCCCACAAAACACAGATATACCTTTGATGACGTGGCATTCAGAAATAACAAAGTGTATAGAAATGACAAGTCTTTATGGATGATCAACTTATTTATGGTGCAATAGCGACGTTTGGTATAGATACTTAACTTTCATAAAGACTTGTCATTCCTATTACTTACATTACAACTTCTAGAATGCCTCTCAAACAGTTCAAACAGTACAGAACAAAGTGTATAGACCATCCACAATAATGGAATGACTTGGTCTTTATTATTTACATTCAGAACTGGATGTTTAAGTTTGTTTTCTGAAATCAGACAGAAGCTTTAACACTGATTGTCAGATTAGAAAGTTCTCCTGACAGAACAACCTACCAAGGGTTTGCAAGATGTTCACACAGAGAGAGTAGCGTATCAGAGTAAACTATCAGATTTTAATGAGATTGTGTCTCAAGTGCTCATTTCTCTTCTTACGTCTACAAGAGGAGGCTGAGATTGTTACACATCAAAATGCATGGGATGTGCATGTTGGATACATATGCAGATGTTAGCTTAGGCTGACTGTGCTAGAAGATAAATGCATAAAGGGAATTTAAGCAATATCGTGTATAGATAACTAAAATGCAAATGTTGGTTATAACAAATAATTTGAAGCAAAAAATAGCAAAGATCATGGGACATCTGTTACAATGCAATAAAATGTGTTTTTACACTATAAAAACAGGTAACATCACCAATTAAGATTTGTTTAGATTTCATTGTGTTTGACAAAAAGACAAATTTTATGTACATGAAATTGGTTGTAATGTTTACATGACTAGATTGGGAAATGTAAATGACTAGATTGTACCCATGTATATGACTAGATTGTAATGTACATGTAACCACTATGTCACAGCAGACTAGATTGTAATGAACATGTAGATTGTAATGTACATGACTAGAGTAATTGTAATTGTAAAAACTAGTGTCATAGCTGGCTAGATTGTGGCTAGAAATGTGTGTCACACTGGGGTAGATTGTAACAAAAGGGGTAGCTGGCTGTAAGTAGGATAGAAAGTGTGTCACAGCAGGCTAGATTGTAAGAAAAGAAATGTGTGTCACACTGGGGTAGGTTGTAACAAAAGTGTGTCACAGCTGGCTAGATTGTAAGAAATGTGTGTCAGCACTGTAAGGGTAGGTTGTAACAAAAGTGTAACAAAAGTGTGTCATAGCTGGCTAGATTGTAAGAAATGTGTGTCACAGCTGGGGTAGGTTGTAACAAAAAGTGTGTCATAGCTGGCTAGATTGTAAGAAATGTGTGTCACAGCTGGGGTAGGTTGTAACAAAAGTGTGTCATAGCTGGCTAGATTGTAAGAAATGTGTGTCACGCTGGGGTAGGTTGTAACAAAAGTGTGTCATAGCTGGCTAGATTGTAAGAAATGTGTGTCACAGCTGGGGTAGGTTGTAACAAAAGTGTGTCACAGCAGGGTAGATTGTAAGAAATGTGTGTCACACTAGGGTAGGTTGTAACAAAAGTGTGTCACAGCTGGCTAGATTGTAAGAAATGTGTGTCACACTGGGGTAGGTTGTAACAAAAGTGTGTCACAGCTGGCTAGATTGTAAGAAATGTGTGTCACACTGGGGTAGGTTGTAACAAAAGTGTGTCATAGCTGGCTAGATTGTAAGAAATGTGTGTCACACTGGGGTAGGTTGTAACAAAAGTGTGTCATAGCTGGATAGATTGCAAGAAATATGTGTCACACTGGGGTAGGTTGTAACAAAAGTGTGTCACAGCTGGCTAGATTGTAAGAAATGTGTGTCACACTGGGGTAGGTTGTAACAAAAGTGTGTCACAGCTGGCTAGATTGTAAGAAATGTGTGTCACACTGGGGTAGGTTGTATCAAAAGTGTGTCACAGCTGGCTAGATTGTAAGAAATGTGTGTCACGCTGGGGTAGGTTGTAACAAAAGTGTGTCATAGCTGGCTAGATTGTAAGAAATGTGAGTCACGCTGGGGTAGATTGTAACAAAAGTGTGTCACAGCAGGCAAGGGTGTAATAAATCTGTCAGTTCAGGCAGGTGTGTAACAAATGTCTCTTGCTGACTCAGACATAAGTGTAACAGGTACTGAAGCTCACCTTTCACAAAAAATAATAAAGAATAATTTAAGCCTGACAGCAGATGAAATAATCTTTACCACTGGTTGACACTCAGCAAGAAAGGTCACCACTATAACAACAAATCTTTACTTTAGTTAACCCGCACACAAAGAATCTGTTAACATATATAACACAATACGTTTATCTCCATTCTACCATAACCACGTTATTCAGATTTTACCAAAAATACATACTGTGTTGAAAGTTCAGAGGTATATACCGTGATTATATACCTCTGAATGACTTTGATTAACCAATCACAATCCAGTATTTACTGAAGTCATGGTAGAATAACATATATACTGCAGATATTGTAGTCATGAATATTTAATTCATAATTCCTAAATTAGTGGGACAGTTACAGCTTAAGTGCTACTTTACATCTATAATGCATCATACTAAAATGGAAATAACAGTCATGAGAAATCGACTTCCCATGAGAAGCCTTCAGCATGACCAGTGGTCACTAGAACCACTAGAGCTGCAGGCGAGCTAACCTTCTACAATATAGTGAAAGTGGTAAGCAAGTGAGTTGGGTTTAGAAGTATTTCAGTAATGTGTGTAAGCTTGACAATGGTCGAAAGTCTCAAGTAATGAAGGTCTTAGATGTGTAGGACTTGAAACCCATGAGCTTGGGGATGGTACCGACAAAACTAGACACAATCAAAGTTTATCCAGTATTCAAACCCGTCAAGGGAGTCATCTCTGCACAGATTGAGCTACCCATGCAGCCTGTATCAATATAAGCATGATAAGCATTTGATTCAAGCACTATGATTACACTTTATCTAAAAATAAATATCTGCCCAAATATAAATTATGCATAGAAAAGATAAATACCAAATTTGGGAGAAATTGAAGAAAACTTAAGGCTTATAGAAGAAAGGATACTTAAGCCTAAAAAACTAAAAAGAAGTAGGTAAGCTTTGACATTATTCAATTTCTTTAATTGCCTTCCAAGAGAAGGCAGCTGATTGCACAGAATTCTATAAGCTCCTTTCTGACAGACGGTCTCAGTATTATCTCTGCCATAGCTCCCCTACTTTAACATACACTTACAATACACTTTGTTCTAGGATATCTTTGTCGGGCTCATCTGAGCTAAAATGAAATGCATCAAAGCTGATCTTTAAAACAATTAAATAAAAAAAGAAAAGAAAAGACAATCTCCCTTCATTGCATGTGGAGGTGAGATATTTACATTGTGTAAAACTGAAAAGATTAATTGAGAAAATAAAATTGAAAGACAAAAGAAAATCCACATTCATTGGATGAGGGGTTGAGATAGATATATTATGTATAACTAAGTCTTATTGAAGAAAATAACAAAAGGCAAAGGACAGGCTCCTATTCACTGCATGTGGAGTCGAGACATACTGGTAGATGGTGTAAAATTATAAATAAAAGATTAATTTTTTTTTACATAAAAAAAAAAGACAATCGTCTTCATTGCATGTGGGATTGAGATATATACATCATGTGAAGCTAAAAGATTAATTGAAAATAAAATTGAAAAAAAAAAGACAACCCCCTTCATTGCCAGCTGGGGTGCAATATATAGACGGTGTTGTGTCCATATGGAACCAGTGCAGTGTTAAACTGGGCAAGGTGTTAGTATGTGAATGTGAACGATACCTGTCATTCCTTTGATGGTGAGTGAAACAGAAGAAAATATTGGTGAGTGAATATCTATGAACTATATCATGGACAACAAGAACAAGAGGTTGAATGAGTGAGTTGACATACAATAGCACTACTGTATACCTATCTACATATTACATACATATCCAAGGAGTTCAATATGCTTGTGTGTCTGTTCACTAGGTCAGCAACACTACCAGTGACTGACATTATGAGCATCGTCCTATGCCACTGGGTCATAATGACACACAACCAAGCACACTGTGTAAACTAGTCATGTCTAATAGAAAACAAAATATCTGTAGATCTATTTATATAAACCATTAAATTTTCACTGAAGCCATCTAAACTGCCTAATGTATTCATTGTCAGTATTGTTGTTACTTGTTTGACTTATAAATATAACATGAAATGTTTATATGTATGAAAATATTTTTTTCACTTATCTTAATACCCAGTATTGTACAGCATAGCTATAGGCTATCGTTCAATGGCCATTTGTTATTTGAGCAAGTTTCGTACAATTATCTTGAAAATGTATAAATATAAACAGTTGTGAGGAGAATAGGACTTGAATTACCCTCGTCCTCTGTACCTATATACCTCCAATAAAAGACTATCCGTCATCCTAAGGAGGTGTAGTCTGTTGTAGAGCTATCATATCTCAACACACACCAGAAACAAACAATTTGTCTAACATAGTTTCATACTTTAGTCTACATCAGCTAATAGGCACACACTCTTACAGAAGTTCAGGCTAACTCAATTTCTGTTACAAAGACAGTTGACTAAGAAAGTACTTCAGATCAGAATGTATAGTCGAGAAGTTATGTTTTTCTGAACAACTGAGCATTACTAAGAAATCTACCATTATTTGCACCTTAACAAAGTCAGTCACAGATGCTGATGGGGTTATCAAAAAACATGTTGAAATCTTTTCCCCTATCCAGGACAAAAATGGTTTTGCTTTACATGCATGGTTACTAATCAGGCCATCACTAAATGCATGATAAAGTTCCATTCCACCATAAACCAGGAATATGTTTCTGAATGAGAGCTACAGTACCTAAACACACAAAAGTGATCTAGAATCGGGGTTTTGTTTAAGTGTAAGTGGAGAACTGAATTCAAAGGGGTGTTTACTTTAAGAGTCCATAACTAAGCTCAGATTTTAATACCATTTAAAATCATTGTGTCACTGGGAAAAGGAACTTTATTCTTGAGACATATCTACAATTCCCAACAAAGAGGCTGTGGGTGTCAAATTAGATATACAAATCTGGTTCAAAGTTAGGGGATGTTTTAACATTGCATACGGTTCAATTTTAACAGAACATTAAAGCATCATCATTTATATTATCCCTCTTGTCAGTGCAATACAAGTCATGAAGCCTAAACATTAGTTACTAACTCTCACAGGTGAAATCTATGATTAATTCTAAGGATTTTGGTACACCTAAGATACACAGCCCTGTACAGTGATTAGCAACATCACGTGTGGCCATCATACAATAATTACACAGAAAACTACAACTCTATGACAACTAACACAATAGCACATTTCAGCAAGTGGACTACGGTTTTCCCAAAAAGACAGTAACATTACACAAAGTGACTACAAAGGCTGTTACAATTCACATATTGAACGAAACGAACCGTATGCCTTCATGAACTCAAATCATTAATTGTGATCACTAGAATCGAATATTTATTTTATGCTACCTGAATTTGGGTTTTATTTATCAAATCGAGACATGCAAAATGGAATATATCCAAGCCAGGCATGATAATAGTCAACTCTCTTATATATACATTTGATAGTAATGTGGACACTGGTCATTGTCATAAATTAACACTGTCAACATGGTAAAGACATGTCAATAATTATTTTGCTATTGTTCCACTGAATATAATGAACAGTACAACTGCTGACATTTTACTGGGTTTTTTTACCCATTATTCATATTCATTAGTCAATATTCGTGGCATGTATCACGTTCACCTCATAGAGGATTCGTTGTAGCCCTAGTGGCTACACACTTTCACGTTCAGCAACTGGACATCTTGACACTGCAGCTACCACACACAGAGGATGGGCTGGACAAGCACACACATCTATAGACTAGTCTATCTAGGGGAACATTGGGAGGTAACTAAACGACTTTACCCATTCTTCAGTCTTTCATTATTGATGACAGCAAACAATTACACGGAAAGCAAAAACCACACAAAACATTCAGCATCTTCATGGAGTTTATCAATATTTTCATTCAATAATATATTCATATTAATAATTTTATCGATTATTTACTTAAATATTTTTTTTTTATTTTTTTTGCATACTGCATATTTTTATCTAAATATTACTTCATAAATATGAGATGAATATATGCATTACAGATATGAATGTTAAATAATACAAAATAAACATGCAATGCAAAATAATATATTGGTAGCGACTATTTCTGGAATTAATTAATTTTTGCTCTTTCAATAAACACTAAAACCATGCACTGCATGCAAAAACACACTGCCATAACCATTACATCAGAATATTCCCTTAGGGACTGTGTCAAAGGTTTCATTTCCAGAATGAATCATTGTATCATTTTGAAACATCTTTGTCATCTCAGCTGTAAAAAATGTTGTGCAGAGTGTATAAATGACAACTTATTGAAAACAGGAGGATAATATACCAGATGTAAGATCCTAAACTGAATCAAACTTGTAAACTTTTGACACATGCCCTAAGACCAAACATTATCCATGCCAAAGTATCTGTTGAATTGACACTTGTTCTTACCTTTTCCTTACTCTGTAGAAATCAAGCTGGAAAGACAAAAATATACATTCCAAATGTAGGGGATGTGGCTTTTGAATCAGTATTACAAAACTGCTCAACTCGTAACATATACAAGTTTATTTTAACCAGAGCTCAAGATAAGCTGCAATTCTGTGCAAATGAAATGTAACAAATAAAATCTCCATCATCAAACCAATATTGAGATGACTGTTTATAAATGTGCTTGAACAATTCCAATATATCTGTGGTTTATCATCCAATGTAGCCATTATAGCTTCCTTAAGTGGCATTTAGAAGCTGGTATGATGAAGTGGAACACTTTTTATGGATAGACAACTTCTTTGTTGCAGTAGTTAGTAGTTGCGACGTTTCGGTGTAGATCCTAACATCATTTGCTTGATAACGGTGTTAGGATCTACACCGAAACGTCACAACTACTACTGCAACAAAGAAGTTGTCTATCCATTAAAAGTGTTCCACTTCATAGACATTATTGCATCTCTGACATTTTTAAAATTTGAAAGTTTATCAGGAGCAGACAATCAGCCTGGCAGAAAATCAGATTATAAACAGATAGGTCCAGTTGAACAGTGCATCTCCATCCACATGCCACACTGACTAGACTCAATACAGCCCTTGTCTGCATGTGCATTCTTACACAATGATAATATAGCTGTATCTTGATTTAACACAGATATCTTTGGCAAGGGAGTAATACACGAATATATCAAAGTAATAGGTTCACTTATCACTCTGGCAATTATGTCATAATGTTGGGTGAACAGAGACATATTTCAAACAGTCACTAGCCTGAGGGACACTACATTAGTGCCCAGTGTTTCAACGTGGGGCAGTAACAATAAGCCCTTAGGTAATGGTGTGAGTGAGGACCTTCAAGGGCCAGCCTGACAAAGGGTAACATTTGTTACATGCTCAGTACTGTAACACCTACCCAACTCCAGAGGGCGCTGGCCTGGGTAAGCACCTTCCAGGACCGACACACACAAGCACAGTTGGCTATGTCAGCGACATCTAGGTACCCGAATATCTGAAGGAAAGCATTATCAGTGATGAGACATATGTCAACATGACATTTTCATGGTTTTAGCAAATCTTGAAAGTACATTCATATGATCCAACTTCCTGAAGGACATTTTGGCTGACAATCAGTGAATGTTCTAGACCTATCTGAAACGTGCATGACCAATAAATAGCTGTATTCCAAATGTGCATTTTAGTGTGTGTTGTTAACTAATTCACTAAAAGGTTATCTGCAGTCATGGTTTGTCATTCACTGCAAAACACAAATTCTCATTGATTCTCATTGATTTTGCACATGATATGCAGTGGGGATTACTTACTTTGTACGTAAATTTTAGGGGGAGGGGGTTTGTGTGTGGTGGGGGTCATTCATTTTGTGCTTCTCCATAAAAATCATCATCACCACCCACCAGTCATAAATTATGAACGGTCCCTAATCGCGTTACGCTGACAGCAACCCTGACTATCCAATCCCATTAGTCACCTCCTACGACAATCATGGGTTGCTGAAGACCAATTCAAACCCAGATCTTCACAGGCAGCTGACAGCATTAGGTCATTATAGACCTTCACATGACGGACAGCACCATCAACTGACCTTGACAGCCACTTTCCGCGGCAGTGTAGAGATGCTGTCCCTCGCCTCCCCAGTCCCCTGACCGAAGAGGTCATCATCATCCATGTTCTCCCCTCGCTCCAGACGCTGAAACAGTCAACACACAACAGGAGCTGTAGAGAGAGAACTTGGTATTGCTTTGCTATGTTGACTTAATCCTAACTTAAATTGTGGAAGTAATTACTGAGCAAAACTGAATAAAGTTAAGATCAATAACAATATTTAACAGTGTCCTTTACATGTATGAATACAAAAAGCAAATTGATGAAAAGCTTAAGATATGAAAAATTAACATATGAATGAAGCAGGTATGAAACAAATTAACAAATTATAGTTAAAGAAGAAAGTAGTGATGATATCAAACAAATTGGTTATTTACAGTAGTAGTTCACACTGAATATATCTGACAGTGTAACTGGCATAAAACTATTGATATTTTCATAGTATTTTAAGAGTATTCCTATAATAACCTGCTATTATTGTCACAAGAGCAATTACATCAATTAGTTTGGTCCTTCCCCAAAATATACAAATAAAAAACTGAAAATAAATCAAATGAACACATAAGCCATTCCCATCACATAAAAACTAGCTGACAAACTCACAGTACACTTCAAAACACTTCTACAAACTAATTTTCTTAAAGATACTTGTTTTAATAATCTTTATAAACAATTTTACTCCATGCACATCTTCAGACACCTACTTAAAATCTCCTCTGAACACTCTTAAACTGGTCCTAAACACACTGCAGTGATACAATATATACAGACTACAGTATAAAACCCATTACCCAAGGCAAAGATTTAATTATCTCTGCAGCTTTTAATAAACATCATTTAGCCACTGGACATCCCCATTACTGGGTCATGTTAGTAGTGAAAGCCACAGAACCAGCTACACATGGAAGAGCATCAGAGATAAAGCTCTGGGTATGTTATCAGGACATGAGGCTGCAAGCATTTGTAGCATTGACCTCTCTGTGAGCAGGAGTAACAGTAGACGTGGTGACTGCATGTGCAATACTGAAATGCATGTGCCTATGCTTTCTGCAGTGCAGTGTTCGATATTAAGCCTCAGTGTATGGGAGCAGTAAAAATATTATTGTTGGTAATTATATTAAATTATCTGTAATAATATAGCCGTAACTGAATTGCAATATTGCAGGACTATAACTGAACTGCAATATCCTAGGACTATAACTGAACAGCAATATCCTAGGACTATAACTGAACAGCAATATCCCAGGACTATAACTGAACAGCAATATCCCAGGACTATAACTGAACAGCAATATCCCAGGACTATAACTGAACAGCAATATCCCAGGACTGTAACTGAACAGCAATATCCCAGGACTATAACTGAACAGCAATATCCCAGGACTATAACTGAACAGCAATATCCCAGGACTATAACTGAACAGCAATATCCCAGGACTATAACTGAACAGCAATATCCCAGGACTATAACAGCAATATCCAGGACTGTAACTGAACAGCAATATCCCAGGACTATAACTGAACAGCAATATCCCACCAGGACTATAACTGAACAGCAATATCCCAGGACTGTAACTGAACAGCAATATCCCAGGACTATAACTGAACAGCAATATCCCAGGACTATAACTGAACAGCAATATCCCAGGACTATAACTGAACAGCAATATCCCAGGACTATAACTGAACAGCAATATCCCAGGACTATAACTGAACAGCAATATCCCAGGACTATAACTGAACAGCAATATCCCAGGACTATAACTGAACAGCAATATCCCAGGACTGTAACTGAACAGCAATATCCCAGGACTATAACTGAACAGCAATATCCCAGGACTGTAACTGAACAGCAATATCCCAGGACTATAACTGAACAGCAACATCCCAGGACTGTAACTGAACAGCAATATCCCAGGACTGTAACTGAACAGCAATACTGAACAGCAATATCCCAGGACTATAACTGAACAGCAATATCCCAGGACTATAACTGAACAGCAATATCCCAGGACTATAACTGAACAGCAACATCCCAGGACTATAACTGAACAGCAATATCCCAGGACTATAACTGAACAGCAATATCCCAGGACTATAACTGAACAGCAATATCCCAGGACTATAACTGAACAGCAATATCCCAGGACTATAACTGAACAGCAATATCCCAGGACTATAACTGAACAGCAATATCCCAGGACTATAACTGAACAGCAATATCCCAGGACTATAACTGAACAGCAATATCCCAGGACTATAACTGAACAGCAATATCCCAGGACTATAACTGAACAGCAATATCCCAGGACTATAACTGAACAGCAATATCCCAGGACTATAACTGAACAGCAATATCAAACCAGGACTATAACTGAACAGCAACATCCCAGGACTATAACTGAACAGCAATATCCCAGGACTATAACTGAACAGCAATATCCCAGGACTATAACTGAACAGCAATATCCCAGGACTATAACTGAACAGCCATCCCAGGACTATAACTGAACAGCAGGAATATCCAGGGACAATATATAACTGAACAGCAATACAGGCAATATCCCAGGACTATAACTGAACAGCAATATCCCAGGACTATAACTGAACAGCAATATCCCAGGACTATAACTGAACAGCAATATCCCAGGACTATAACTGAACAGCAATATCCCAGGACTATAACTGAACAGCAATATCCCAGGACTATAACTGAACAGCAATCATCCCAGGACTATAACTGAACAGCAATATCCCAGGACTATAACTGAACAGCAATATCCCAGGACTATAACTGAACAGCAATATCCCAGGACTATAACTGAACAGCAATATCCCAGGACTATAACTGAACAGCAATATCCCAGGACTATAACTGAACAGCAATATCCCAGGACTATAACTGAACAGCAATATCCCAGGACTATAACTGAACAGCAGTATTCCAAGAAATTTAAAGAAAGCTGCCTTTTCAATGTTTAATGTCAACTTCTCGTCAACTTTATTGGTTGGTCAAAGTTTGCAGAAGGTCATTCTGATGTGACATGTAAATGGACATGATGATGACTTCTGATCTTTATATATCGGTAGTGAGCACTCAGATCAATGAGATTGCGCCCAAACTCACATCACTGTAACGCCCCTACAGATGAAAGACATTGCTGAGTCCCTTACTTTCTATACCTATTCCCTGCACTGTAGCTCACCTGGATTTGTAGTCAACACTTAAAATGTTAAAGGCAAACCATTGTTTCTGACAGCATTGCTGTTCAATACATATGTCAGAAATACTGTAGCTAAAGTATTAACATTTCCAAAACTACTTTAGAACAACAGTGGCATACATTTCTTCCCTGAGCCTGTATACCTTCTAAGGAGAATATGGCATTTCCTAATGCCATACAACCTGTTTAATTGTACCACTAAAAACATATGAAGTAAAATCCCTATGATTTGCACAAAATGTTTTGCTATCATTAGAGAGAACCTTAAATGCCAAAGTCTTCAGCTTCCACAAAACAAAAGGGATATCAGAATTCAAAATGCAATGAAAAATGAACATACATTCATTTTATTTTTGAACAAAATGGCTGTGTAATGGCCCTAAGAAGATTCACTTTTACTATGCTCTTTGTACAATGGATGAATTGAGGTTAAAATTTATAATATTGCAAACACACGAGACGATGTGTTCAGACCCTGTACCAAATTTCATTACATTTGAAGAAATATGGCTGAGATACAGATTTTTCAAAATGGCTGTCATGGTGGCCATGTTGAAAATCTGAAATGAACCTCTTCAACAAATTGGAATGCCATCATTGATAGGAACAAGTATGTGAACATTCAAACTGTTTCTGATGCTACAGACAGTAAGTGCAAGATAAAATGGCTATGACAAATGTTCACTTGACTTTCAGCCATGTGAGCAAAAACCTGTATCTGTGCTTGTGAATGGAAGTTGTTTATAGGAGAGTATGAGTGGATAGTGATAGAAATTGTTACAGGTAGTAATGAATGAGGATAGTGTTCCATAGCATATTGCTAGTCCTTCTCACTAGCCTCAGAGTCACACAACAGTACTGTCCCCATTTCACAATATGATTGTAGCACTACAACTGACACTACCATAGTTACACATAGACTTACAGCAGTCGTGGAGCTATGATCACTTTATGAAATGGGGTCACGACCAGGCACCAAGACCCTTGTCCATAAAGTGACCAGGAGCTATGACAATGTTAACTTCCACACTCTAACACTCTAACAATCTATCATGATAAAAACCCTGGACCAGTTAACCATAAGCCTTGTTTCAGAAAGGGCATCACTAGCTCCATCTCACTCATTAAGCGTTTAGTATTAAAATTTCTTCTCATTCATGACCTTGAAACCTCGGACCCTTGCCTCTTCTGAACTAGTCTGAACCAGTCCCTAAGCTGCATTATTTCCCCATTCTGCCCAGCTCTTTCAGGAGTGCTAAGCCCTAAATGAAGCAAGTCTAGATTTCCTCAGGTTCAGGAATCTGAATCTAGCATCCCATTGGGCTCCTTTTCAATTTAAATAGAATTCTTTCTTTCTGTCAAAATTATATATATATTCAGTGATGAAGCGTTAGTCTACTTCTGAACTTCAGTTCAGCATAGATACACCTTGCAGTCTCATCTAAATGAGTCTATATTTGATTGAATTTGTGTCTGTTATATCCTTTATAGGTCAGAAAGCGTTTTTCTTCTATACTAGTGAGTGAGTGAGTTTGGTTTTATGCCACTTTTAGAATTATCCAGAATTATCACGGCGAGTGACACCAGAAATGGGCTTCACACACTGTACCCATGTCGGGAATCAAACCTGGGTCTTTGGAGTGACGAGTGATGCTTTAACCATTAGGCTACCCCACCGCCCCTCTTCAATACTAAAACAGTGGAGGGGACACTCTGGTTGTATTTGTGATGATATCCAAAAGTTGAGTACTTAATGATAAAACTACTTGCTTCAATCATGAAGAAACTGCATAATATATACTGAGGGCAAAAAATAAGGGATCACATGAAAGGACAAGTGTTCCTTTATTTTTTTCAAGGTTTCTTCACAAGCTTTGTATCACATAGCGTTGTATCGCATAGCTTGTGAAGAAACCTGGAACAACATAAGGGAACACTTGTGCTTTCATGTGATCCCTTATTTTTTCCCCTCAGTATAATTGTGCATCTAGTTTCATAGTTACCAGACTCAAAACACAGGTATGGTGATGAGAGTCCAGGGTATTTATTACAACAGAAGGGGGGTATAAAACACTGGATAATAGAGGATGTCATAATGATGACTTCACTTTGGGGACTGGAGACAGGATCACATTCTAAACTACTGGGTGCCGTTGTACAAAGCGATCTTAGCGCTAAGGTGACCGTAACATACCTTAACAAAGACCTAAGGTAGTCTTACCGCTAAGGTTGTTTTGTACAACGGCACCCTGGACATTAAGGCAAGTTATTTCAATCTACCATCTTCATAAGTGAATATTAAGAATTGTTTTAATAGACATACTGACCTTAAAAAAATTACAAACTACACTTCTCATAAAAATACCTGATATCAAAATGTAGTACTTCTATCCAAATCTTCTCAACATTAATTACTTGTTATGAGATAGGAAGAATATCAGCTCATATCAATATAATAATCATCAGAAATGTGTTGAACTACATGTATTATGACAAACTAATGGAACAAGAAGCCACAGACGATATATATGACCTTAGCGTAATACACATACATATCTACAGAGCATCTAAGTACTATGGACAATACACATTGCGTATATTACATGGTGTTTGTATATTTACCCTTAGATTTATCTGTATTGTTAGTAGTTCAAAAAGAAAACAAACAAAAATGTTAGCACCATTCCTCACATACCAGTCATTCAAAAACAGATTTCCATATCAGGCAAGACCAATTTTATTTTTTATTTTATGAATCATTCTACGCACATTTTTTAAAAGAAAATTGATCTGATTACTTCGAGTCTTACCTTAAAAAACCCCACAAAAATACTCTTAAACCAAAATAATCAGAAGGTATTTGTTACTTAACACCCTCATGTTTTGTTTTCTTAAAAGTTACATACTACTTGAACATATAGTCCAAATCTCTATATTTTATGCATTAAATATTTGAAAGAAAATATTGAAAATTAGTAAAACAAAAAATATAGTTGGTCCAGCCTTAGTTAATTCCATCATATTGTTAATCATAAGTAATTTAATCCACCGCATTGATGTTTACACCCTTCATGCTTGTATATCGATAATGATCTCATAATATCTATATACAAACATAGTTAAGTAATGTAACAAATCCTGCAAGTTCACAAGTTCCTTAAGATGCTCTACCAATACTAGTACTGTACTCTGCATGTAGACTGGGTAAAGTTGAGTGGATGCAATGCTATAGTCTGTGGTATTGATAGTGGGGGAGAAGTTCAAAAGTTGGATTTCGGCTAAAAATCATAATTCCTAAATATTTCATGATACAAAATCAACCTTTTGCAGGGTTTGTTTGCCTTTTTTTACAGCTAAATAAATAAATAGCAAAGTTTGCAATCTGAAAAAAAACAAAACCCAAAGCCCCTCACTGCTTTGAAATATAAGTTACTTTTAAGGTTCCTCTTATGAAAATACTTCAATGATATTACTTTATATTAGCACAAATGTACCACAACATGAGATGAAATGAATATGTATTGACAAATCTTTTAGAACAAATTGTTTCAGTTTGCTATGACTGACATTATCAGAACATTTATCGATGAGCTACAAGAATGGCATAACAGTTCCATTTTCTGATAACATCAGAGAAAAGAGGATATGTCATTCATAATCATCAAATCTGAAAGTGATATCAATGCATGTACCAGCTTTGGCTATGAACACATTAAACCCTGGGAAGTTTTGGCCAAAAATGAAATCTGCAGACTGTGCATTACATTACCAGTATGTCAAATACTATGGAACATAAAATCCATGTTTGATTATTTATTCAGCTGTGGTCTGATTTTGAAATAGATTGATCAATAACTGGGAATTAGAAATTGCACTGAAAATATTTTTTTCTACGCTTGATGCAGCAATGATGTAAACACTTCCAGCCAAGGAATGCAGATATTCACAATCAAGACCCAATTTGGCAACTTTCTTGATCACCAGCATGATCACAAAATTTGCCAGAGACCTACAGGCAGTGCCAGTGCAAAGAGTTATCCGTTAACCTTTGATACAGTGTGTATCACACAATATTAGTACCATGATCAAAAATACATGCGGCACAAACTTGTGACTTAATCCAGGAGTAAAAATTGCAACCAAAATGAACATTTGAAATCTGTGACATTTTGTTCGAGAACTTAATCTAGATTGTGATTATTGCTTTCTCACATGTATTTTTGATGGAAACACTGACTACACAGACACCAAAGATATTCATATTTCACCATATATACAAACTAATCCTCTCCTATCTGTCATACAATTCCAATACACTGTTTCAACCATAATAGCCTCTAACCAGTACCATATATTTGAATATTGTGACAGATATAGCGGCACCACAATGTAAATTGTTTAGGCTACAATACAATTCCAATAAATTCAAACTAGTCAGTATCAGTCGCTTTTAGTACTCTGAATTGTTCAAATATATTGATCTTCTAAAATCATTGATAGCCTTGGGAAATGTAATTTGATAACAACCTGGGCCTTGATTTTCGAAGCTCTCTTAGCGCTAAGATAGTCGTAAGTGCCATACATTAACATTAACTTACAACTATCTTAGTGCTAAGAGAGCTTTGAAAATCTACACTCTGATGTGTTGGTAGATATGGCCTGAATTCTTTAGCAGTTGCTCCAGTAATCTTACAGGACACATTACTATAAACTTCTATAGTTTGTCAGACATTATTGCTTGAATATGCCATCCTGAGGATCAAACAAAAGTCACCGATTCAGCCCCCTTGTCAACAGTCTCTACAGGTTTGAATACACTTCCATGTCAAACTATTAACACATGCCCAGCTGTTTGACTTGTACCGGTAATCAATACTACTCCACGTTCAAGCTATGCCTGCTTTGAGTTCAAGTGAAACCAGTCAATGTTCAAGCCAATCAGCATTCAGCTTACATCATACAAATGATAATGTTTGTTGTTTAATGCGTTCACCATGTGTAATAGCGTTGAGTTATTCACTTAATACTAGTAAAGGTAGGACTAGCATAAATTCATGCAGAGTAGAATCTCTTAGTTATGAAAGGCACCATTTCATTAACTCTACGACAAGGAGATGCAGTGACATCACGACCTCTCTAAGGGTTAGTACAGATTATCAGCCATCTAAGTTATGGCCTTCTTAAGGGCTTTTCAAGGCCCAATCACAAATTTTAAGAAACTGCAGAAACACATAAAGTACATAATATAGGGAAATAACTCTTTAAGTAAGTTTTGCTAAATGTAGGTCCTTTTCAGGGCAAATCACAGGCAATTAGGGCCTTTTCCAGGCTAAAACAAATTTAGGGTCTTTTTTTGCGTAAAATGTCCAAATTTCAGGCTTTTCCAAGCCTGTGCGAACCATGTCTCTATACCATTTTTTCATAGGTGACGGTAGAGCGTTACTGGTGCCTGCAAACTCATGAAGTATTGTCAATCAGGGCAGTCCAGAGCTGAATGTTATAATATGTTCCTCAGATAGATGGCAATTGCAATAAATTTCACATTTTCCTTTTTAAAGTAACTCTAACAGAAATAAAAGATGATTTCGAACTATTCTTCCCTGTGATGTACAAAATAAGTTTAAAAAAGTTAAAATGACATAATTTGTTTCAACATCGCAATACAGATTCAGAGTTAGATTTACAAATTGTTCATTTTGGAGAAGCAAAATTAAAAAAGATAATTTCATTGGAGCCCATTTGTTTTCCTGGATATATTTTTCAATTGAATTTTTTCAAATAAACACATGTATTTTTGTCATGGATCTCTGTCACAGTATTCAAAAAAGCAAATATTAGTTGATAAATTATTTCCTCATCCTTTGCAAAAAGGTAGATACATAAACATATATATTGACAAGACACGCGTGCCAACAAACCAGTGTCAGCTGCCAATAGACATAATGTTTACATTTTAAAATTATACATAAAACATGACAAAAACATACAATACATGGATATATAGAGAATCTCACCCAAGTGTCTTCTGATATCAATTATATCAACACGAGTTGATAAAGTTACAAATATCCGAGGCTTGCCGAGGATAATTTTACTTTATCAACGAGTGTTGATATATTTGATATCAGAAGACACGAGGGTGAGATTCTATTTATCATCCAAAATCACTCTTCATTAATTTTCAGTGAAAAATGTACATCTCTGAACATGGTACTGCCATTAGACATGCAGTGCAGCGATGTCATAGCATTGTGACGTCATCAAGTACATGACGTCATAGCATTGTCAGGGCATTGTACAAAGTCTACTGTCAAAACGATATCTCCTAGGAGATATCGTTTGATCTCACAACACAAGCGATATCTCCTGTGGAACACAGTTTTGGATGATAAAAACATATGCAAAATGTCACAATATTTTCAACAGGATTAATATTGCCAGTATTACATACTCAATGTCACAATATGCATCATTCATTTAACTCAGTAATTCAGTAATAATTCAAGCAACTAAGAAACCTTTCTATGATCATAATAACTACCATATTCAACATATTTAAGCACTATGTTATAAAAGCAGTTCTTAGGAAATTTTCAAATGTAAAATTCATAGCGACTATTGCTCTATATTCCAGAGGAAAAATATTCTTTCAATGTTTCTTGTGTTGGCTGTTGGTATGTGTTACTAGCAAGTCTATATTATCAATTTTTTATATGTTTGTCCAGTTTACTTGTGCACATGTTCCCTGGCGTTACATGATAAACATTGTCAAAGTGAGTGAGAATGGTTTTACGCGTTTCAGCAATATTCCAGCAATATGACAGTGGGGGACACCTGAAATTGGCTATACATTGACCCCACATAGTATGTTCAGAATCAAAACCAGGTCTTTGGAGAGATGAGCAAATGCTTTAACACCACTGGGCCACTCCACCACCTCAAACGTTATCACAAGATACTCTCTGGCACAGAGAATTTCAACTGCCATGACAATATTAACAGTGCCACATGCAGGAATTTCTGTCTCACCCCCATATCAATCTGTATGAATACTTGGTTCCAACATGGAGACTACAGTGTGTAAGCCCGATAGGTTGGAAAGCTTTATATTTAGATAGTATTGAGGGCTTGACCACACTTTTTAGCAACAAGCCCCGGCTTTTTTAAATAATGGTAGCTACGCTCCTGTACTAGATATTTATCTAACTTTGAAAGCTTTCTGTACTTTAGAGGTTGCTAAATACATTGAATATGGTAAGTATAAATGAAGGCAAACACCTATCAGTATGTCAGTACAATCGCTATGGTTACCTCGAAGTACTCCCTCTGTTTCTTGGCATCCAGCGTGTGGTGATGCCAGGCCTCGAAGATGACCCGTCCAACAGCCACATGGCTGACATGCTGCAGCTTCTGAAAGGACACTGGACACACAGATGGATGTTACTTCCTGGTACTGGCCACACAGATGGACTCTACAGCCCGGTACTGGGCACATACTTCACGTTACAGATAGGTACGGGATGTGCAATAGATGTTGCAATGTACTGGGTTTGCAATGGAGGTTTCAAGTGCTGAATGTGCAATGGAGATTATGCAAGTTACAAGGTACTGGATGTGCAATGGACATTTTACTCACAAAAGAAATTAATTTATTAAACAAGATGACAAAGTTATCAATATCCTTCACACTGGCAAAATACTCTTCATTAATATGTCAACTAGTTATGACAATGTCAAATGTTTGAAGTGTATAGAGCAAAGTGGAAGGAGAGTATTGAAAGGTTTTAAAGTACTGTTCCAGAAAGGAGCACCACCGTCAAAGTCAAACTCGTTGCCATGGAAATGCAGATAGCATGTTTTTCAGAAATCCAAATCTACCAAAAGGCACCAGTATACCACCAGACCTATCAATGTGCCAAGTTTGGTGAAAAATATTGAACGGTTTTATGTTCTGTTCCGGAAAAGACGAATGTGCGCAGACGGACAGAAGGAGTCCATTTTAATACCCTCCGCAAAATGTGTTGTGCAGGATAAAAATATACAGTTAATATATCCATGCAGAAACGTTACTTCTACTTACTAGCCTGTCGTCCCTTTCTGTACTTGATCCATTCCTGAAACAGTACAACAGCTTATGACTGACTGACTGACTGACTGAGTTTGGTTTTACGCCACTTTTAGCAATATTCCAGCAACATCACGGGAGGGGGACACCAGAAATGGGCTTCACACATTGTACACATGTGGGGATTCGAACCGGGTCTTCGGCGAGACGAGCCAACGCTTTAACCACTAGGCTACCCCACCGCCCCAACAGCTTATGAAATGGGCCTCCTTGGTTAGCTTTGAAAACTGACAGCTTCCTACACATGAAATGTAAAAGCATACAGTTCCATCGTGAGCTATCAAAAAACACTATCAGCAACAATTAATATTTATCAGTTGTCACCACCCCTAATATTGCTCAATGGATAAATGTTACTGACTAGTGACAAATACTATGCTCCTGCTTTCTGCTACATTAAGTGGTAGGTCAACTCTAACCATTTCAGTTGTTTGGACATGATCTCGCATAGTCTCCACTTGCAATGATGTAGTTCAGAAATTTGAAACTTGTGTAATGATCTTTGAAATGTTTTTGGGGTTGTTGATAATTTGAAAGTATGAGTCAGTCAGACTTGCTTCATTAGCTTTTTGGTGTGGCAGTTGTGTAACATTGGTCACTGACAAAATGGTTCAGTTTTGCAAAATACATTTAAAAAACCATATCGTATGTAAATTGTACTTGGTCAATAGTTATAATGCAAGTTGTATTTGGAGATGGCACTTTTTATGCTACTCTCCTGTCGAATGGGTTCAACACGCATTGAGAGGATTTGAACTGAGAAAGGAGCATATGTACAAAGGAAATGTCATGTTTGCATGATTAGGTCATGTGTTAGATTAAGTCTGAATCCAGCCCTTTGGTATGGTTTGATGGTTATCTTTTGACAAGACGATGACTACCCAATAATGGCTGTAGAAGGACTCTAGTACCAGGAGAAGGGAGATAACTCTCAGAGAAACTTGTTGACAATGATATATAATTCTTGTTAGCAGTGCACATGCCTGTGTTGGGAAGACAAAATGTAAGGGAGATAATTCTACCAGAAATGTTGACAAGGAAATATAAAATAGGGGTGGACACCATGGCTCATCTAATTAGTGTGGTTCAACACTACGCATTGAGAGGATTTGAACTGAGAAAGGAGCATATGTACAAAGGAAATGTCATGTTTGCATGATTAGGTCATGTGTTAGATTAAGTCTGAATCCAGCCCTTTGGTATGGTTTGATGGTTATCTTTTGACAAGACGATGACTACCCAATAATGGCTGTAGAAGGACTCTAGTACCGGGAGAAGGGAGATAACTCTCAGAGAAACTTGTTGACAATGATATATAATTCTTGTTAGCAGTGCACATGCCTGTGTTGGGAAGACAAAATGTGAGGGAGATAATTCTACCAGAAATGTTGACAAGGATATATAAAATAGGGGTGGACAGCATGGCTCAGCTAATTAGTGTACTCATTGAGTCTGTCTTATGGGTGGTCTGTCTTTTGGGAGGTGTGTCTTTTGGGAGTGAACCTATAATTCTCATTAGCAGTGCACATGGCTAATATATTGGGAAGACATATGCTCTAGTGCTGTTGTACAAAAGGGGGCGCAGCAAATGAAACTAGCTCAAAATGTAAACATCTTAAAAGACAGTCTTGGCAACTTTGGTACATTCAAATGGAAATCATATTAACATGTCATCAGGCCATCTGTCCAAGCCAGAAAGTTAGGTTTTATCTTTCAGGCAACACAAGGGGCTGAACATCATACGAATGCAGTATGCAAGGTTGCTTCACCTGCAAAATATCAGTCAAATCAAGCAAGACTAATATTGCCAGTACATACTCAATGTCACAATATGCATCATTCATTTAACTCAATAATTCAGTAATAATTTAAGCCACTAAGAAACCTTTCTATGATAATAATAACTACCATATTCAACATATTTAAGCACTATGTTATAAAAGCAGTTCTTAGGAAATTTTCAAATATAAAATTCATAGCGGCTACTGCACTATATTCCACAGGTAAAATATTCTTTCAAAGTTTCTTGTGATAGCTAGTGGTATGTGTTACTAGCATGTCTAAGCAGTATGTAGGCATTGCTGCAACCAAGACACTTATCCATGCTTTTGTGACATCTCGGCTGGATTACTGTAATTCAATGCTGTATGGATTGAATAAACTATGCCTGAGCAAACTTCAGAAGGTACAGAACTCAGTGGCAAGATTCATAAGTGGAACACACATACACTTTGCTTTTGAGCAAAATTTTGATTTTGCTGCAATACAAATAACTTTAATTTAATTTAATTAATTTTAATTAATTTACTATAAAGAACAGGGAATCAAACAAGCTTTCAACTGACTAAACAAAAAGGGATGATTGAAGAAGGTAAACGTAGTATCAATTTACACAATCTACTCGTCCTAGAGTCAGAATCTAATAATAACAAACAGGTAACGGTACGCAAGTGTATTTCCTCTTAATAAAATCAAGCGCCACCTCTCCCAATTCTCCCAAATATCAGCTGACTACAAGCAACAAAATGTGATGAATAAACAAGGAAGAATCATCAAACATCACAAAATGTGGTCCTGGAGACAGGGTACTCAAGTCAATATTTACTACTATTACAGTGACACCTCTCCACATCTTCCCACCCATCTGACATGCATCCCCAGCCATGCACTCCACACATACCCTCCACCCCCACCTACCCGCCAAATGTTGAGGTGTACACGCAACATGCGATGGGAATGATGTCGAGCTGCCAGATTCAATTTCTTCAGTATTTTCTCCTTCTTTTTCTGTTCCCGTAGATGATACTGCATCCAGCCACTGAAACAGAGGATATTGTGCAGACAGGACACTCAAGTTCAAACTGATAACGTTAACACATCCTCACTGTATTACACCATACTATTATCCATATAATCCTGGACCCAGTCTCCATCTCCTCCTATTACCTAGCACTGAATTTCACTCATCAACTCACTGATCATGAAAATACCAGTTCGGAACACAAAGATCTGCCTTCGAAATCTGCCAATCAGAGTTGTACTTCTTAATCCTCAGTACGAGTTGGTTTGTTTGTTGTTTAATCCTGCACTCAGTAGTATGGAGGTGGTCTGTAACTAATTGAGTCTGGACCAGACAATTCAGTGATCAACAACATGAACATAGATCTACGCAATTGGGATAAGATGACGTGTCAACCAAGTCAGCGAGCCTGAACACCCGATCCCATTAGTCGCCTCTTACGACAAGTACAAGTTGCTGAAAAACAGTTTTAACCAAGATCTTCACAGGTTGTAGGAGTAGGTGAAGCAATCAGACCAGCATATTTGTACCTGGAAAATGAGCTTAAATGACTTTTCCCGAGAGAATGTAATAAAGACAGTGCCACTACATTTGTTGTCGATATTTCATACATCCCTTGCACTTCATGAAAAAACAGATCAGCTTGATCCTTAATTCTTTGTTTCTATTTATTCAAAAAATTGTTCCGAAGCAAAGCGGATAAACTTGCAACACAAATTAATTTATGTACCATCATGTGATTGTCATACATAAAATTTTGTCATTTGAGCACGACAGTTTGTTAAGCAGTGATATCAGAAAGAAAACCTAACCCAGTAAGCAGTTACCTGTAGCACATTCTCTTCAGGTGTGTGTTATAGTGGCCATAGGCTACAGCATACATCTCAGGACTTGGCTGTAACAAGCAGAAACATCATGAGTTAGTATATACAGCTTTAACTAATTTAGGTTGTGCGGAAGAAATATACATCATGTCTGTAAAGAAAGAGACTGAGAAGTTTCCGATAATCTCAAGAAGGGATTTAATATTAGGCTATATAGTTAACATGGAGCATGGTGGTATAGTCCAGGTCTTGTAACTTTCTGTCCAGAGCTGCAACGTATGGACTTACCCATAGGCAGAGCCAGAGAGAGAAGGGGGGTGGGGCTGTTGTGCCCCCCCCCCCCCTCGTGCTGAAAGTTTGTTAAATGACCATTGAAACTCGGGTGAAATTGAAGTGTGCACCCCTCCTTTTCTCAATAGTGTGCACCCCCCCTTTCTCAAAAAGCTGTATCCGCCCCTGATACCTGGAGCTTTAATGACTTTGAGTTTGATTGTGTGTTTAAATTCAAGTTTGCCCTAATTATAATGTTTAAGCTGAGGTGAGGTGAGGTGAGGTGAAATGGAGTTTAACGTCGTACTTACAGTAAGAATATTTCACTGATTATGGTAACATGCATGCGTGTGTATGTGTGACTGCTTGTGCTAGCCCAGACTTAAGCTGATTTTATAGTGCCAGCTCACTGAGGTACCATGCCACAGTTAAGCATGAATACCCCACTCAGACACATTATACTGACTCCGAACCGACCAGTCATTGTTGTATCCATTAATGCCGAGCGCCAGGCATGGACCAACAAGTACCATATTTTAACGCCTTTTGGTATGACACGGCCGGGAATCGAACTCACGACCTTCCGCTCTCCGGGCGGACGCTCTTACCACTACACCACGGAGGCGGTTTGTTTCAAATGTAATTATCACATCCTCAAGTACAGATTAATAAAACAATTTCAAAACTTTACAGAAACCTCAGATCTTTTGTCACTGTCAGGAATCATGAAATTAGTAACTAGGGGTCCTCTAGACCCTTAGTTTTGTAGGGCAAGATATAAACCTGAAGTGTGCTACTCAGTATATATTAAACATCTCTTCTTTTCCCAGAATAACCACATTTGAGGTTTTTGTTTGCACTCAGGTTTTACTTTTTGTAAGTAAGACCTCTTCCCAAGTTATATTTTTTCCTCTCTATGTGAACATCAACATTGAAATGATATATGAATGTTTGAAATCAACTGAATTTTTTTTATCCAAGATCAATTTCATAGTGCAAATGTTTTCTCCAGCAGGATTAGAACTGCATCTATCAGGTTAATAAGCTGACACTCTACCTCACGGCCACCGAGCCAACAAAGACATTGGGGTTGAACTATCTATTCATAGTTACTGTCATTAAATTGATTTTATTTGTGCTGCAGTTATTGTTATGTAGCTTCAAATGATCATGTACATTATAAGTATCCATCATTGACGGTTTATATGTTAGGGAAATCACTTTTCCTCGGTTTTGGTAGAGAATGTAAAACCTTGGGAGGAGGGAAATCCCGAGGTGCTTTTACATTCTCTACCAAAACCTCGGGGGCGTGTTTTCTCCTATATGTAAAACCCTGGGTTGGTCAGTGCCATACTCAAGAAAATGGTAAATATCTAAAACCTGCATCACTTCGGTCTTTCCTCCCACGTTAAACTTGCATTCTGAGAAATGACTGGAATTCTGTTCAAAGGAGTGTTAGAGTTAACTCAGTCATACACTCACTCTAAAGTTGATAAAAACTTCATCCACCTCTTTATAATGAGAGTTTAGTGATAAACCTAAAAAAAATCCAGCAATGATTGATTGAGGGAGCATGACTTGAGCGACACTGATTTGGACAGTACTTCAGTCACAGTCATTTGAATTAATTGTTCAGCTCCATACAGCTATTGTACAGAAAATAAAAATGTTTTTTTTAAAAATGAATAAGGCTGAAAAAAGTTTAAAAAATTGTATCAAAAACCTTCATACTGAATTTCATTTAAAAAGGAAATGTTTCACACTCACCAACAAGTATTCATCAAAGTTGAATAGAAAGTCCAGGTTGCTTTCAGAGAAAAACCTCATTTTGGGTTTCTCACTCTCCTCAACAAACATGTCCCTGTAAAAGTAGTGAGATAACATTACAATAGACTACAACCATTTTTTTTGTAACTGTAAAAAAATCCATTATATGTAGCATTGCAGTGAGGCATCAACACTCAAAATGACTTCATAGTCAAAAGTATACATGCGTTACAAAAGTTTGTGCTCAGTAAGAGGTCTTATCATGAGTGAGTTAGTGAGTGAGTGAGTTTAGTTTTACGTCGCACTCAGCAATATTCCAGCTATATGGAGTCGGTCTGTAAATAATCGAGTCTGGACCAGACAATCCAGTGATCAACAGCATGAGCATCAATCTGCGCAATTGGGAACCGATGACATGTGTCAACCAAGTCAGCAAGCCTGACCACCCGATCCCGTTAGTCGCCTCTTACGACAAGCATTGGTTACCAAAGATCAATTCTAACCCAGATCTTCACACGTCCATACGAGGAATGAGTGAGTGAATGTAGTTGCATGTTGCTATTAACAAAATTAAAGCAATTCATGGCAGGAGACACGAGGAACAAGCTTCAAATGTTCATTTATCCATGAGGGGAATTGAACCCAGGTCATTTGAGTAATAGCTTGAACCACTAGGTTGTTCCACCATTACTGTGACATCAAGACTTGGCATCTCTGTGTACTTACAGGGAGAATCAAACAGGCCATTCTGTGTGAAGAGCTTTAACCACATGGCTAACCCACCCCCCAAACTCACCAGGCACCCACAAGGACCATGTATCCATGTGGGAATAGAGTGAGCCTATTGAAAGTGATGCATGAACACTTTAACCACTAGGCTACCCCACCGCCCCCTATTGAAAGTGATGCATGAACACTTTAACCACTAGGCTACCCCACCGCCCCCTATTGAAAGTGATGCATGAACACTTTAACCACTGAGTTACTTCAGCAACCCTGTGACCCCAAAAGGTATTAATACTGTCAATTTGTAATCATGTTGGGAATCATACCTGGGTCAGTCAGTGTGAGGCTCCTGTGAACACCCTAATGACACCAGGAATAGATTACACTCATTGTAACAATGTGGAGAAATGCAAGGACATTTGGAGTGAGGAGGAAAGTCTTTAACCACTGCGTGACTCTGCTGTCATTGAGACACTAGGAAATTAGTCTAGTTGCTTCTCTCCCTGTAATTACTGACAATTACTCAACTGCTCAAATGACACCAGAACCAGGTTTCACTGACTGCACCCATGTGGGAATAGAACCCAGAAAGCAGATATAAGGAGCAAACGTTTTAACCACTGGGCTACACTGCTGTCATTGTGACACCTCGAATAGGCTTTCCTCACTGTACCCAAGTGGAGAAAGGAACCTAGGCCATTTAATATAAGTGAACATGAGAAAAGATAAGGAATTTGAACTTGGTAGAAACAATGCTTTTGGGGGTAAGAAGACTATTTTGGCTTCTGCAAATGTTACATTATTACAGGTATTCGGTCAAATGAATATCAATGTTTGGAAATCATGACACGTCAAGCCATAACCTAAGTAACACAGAGTTAAAAACATATGCAGTCATGCTTGAAATATATACCTCCAACCAAACTACAAACTATTGATTTGGGTTAAACTATTTTGAATGGCATCCATGAAAACTGTTTGAGCTGTTACATGCCTTATAGTCATTATTATTACCCTTGATGCTGATGGTGACAATGAAAGAATAAAACATACCACTGCAAGTTTTCCAGTCCAATTTCTTTGATGAGTCGAAGCCTGTCCAGAATAAACTGAAGGGGATCCTCCGGACACATGACTGCTAAGCCCGTCAGGAGTGCCTGCAAGAGACAACATTACAATCAGAGGTACAGATAAGCTGCGTATCTGTGTAAATTACACAAATATTTATGTGGAAACTCAATCTCTATAAAGTCTATTGTGTACAAGTACGCTTCAACTTTTGTAAATACTCAGTAAATTTGTTCTTACATGCGTACACATAGACTAACTGCTAGTCTATGAAATGAACATATTTTACAGAAAATATAAGTTCTTAAATTAAAATTGTAAATACAATAAAGAGGAGCCAAGGGACTTTCTTCATTTTCAGAGACCCTGAAGCTGTGGAAATCTACTATGACTTGCTACATTTTCTAGACTTGCGTGGGCTTTCTTGGATATATTTGCTTCAGGGTCTGTATGACAGACTAGCGTACACACAAAAATGTCAAATCTTACTTTGTGTACCAATAGATAGATAAAATAACTGAGGTATATTGAGAGGTTCTATTTCAGCACATGAACTTGGCAATTTGCAGTCTTTCTTATCATTTCTCATAATACAGATCATATATGAATAACAAACACGTCAACCAACATTAAAACTTTATCATATTTTTACAAGCAATGGAAAACGGCAAAATACCCAATTGAGTTTGAGTGAGGTGGGTACAATTTATTTGGTTACTCCAAGGAAAATGTAATTTTTTGAATAAAATTGATATTTTATACTTATCCTGACTCATGCTTATTTGCTCGTCTTCTTCCTCTTGCGAACATAGTGAAACACTTGTATCTCTTTATTGAAGTTCCTTTCAATAAAAACGTACGTAAAATCACAACTCACCAGAGTTATCTCTGTTTCCGGTTTTGGCGGGAAAAGTGGCCCACGCTTCACTCTCTCCTGATAATGAGCCCGACACTTGAATTTGCAGGGAAATCCAAAGTGTCTAGTGGGGAGGTTGGGAGGGCTTACCTCATGAGTCAGGATAAGTATAAAATATCAATTTTATTCAAAAAATTACATATTTTTCCTTATCCTGACTCATGCTTATTTGCTTGTAGAATTAAGCCGGATTTTGGAGGCGGAAAAATACTTTAGGATTTAGGTGTAGAGATTTCACGTCAATATATACCCCCCTATGGGAACTCCGTATTGGCACTGTGCTAATCTCTGCTGCTGTTTGTGACCCTGTCCTTTCAGCTGCCTTTTTGATGGGGGGACCACAATTGTTAACTTTTGGTCCTTTCTCTGTTAACATTTTTATGTGGATTTTGCGACTCCATTTCTTGATGCAAGCACCAAGTGGTGAAGCGACCCTTTCCTGTACAAGTATTCTTACAAGTACTGGGTCATATCACTTATGCTAGTCGTTAGACGTGCATTTAGACTTAAGCAGAACTCTGCTGAGTGTAGGCTTGATAAGTCATGTGATAAAAGTGCGAGACTTCGTCTCAACGTCTTTGAGGAACTGTCAACTGTTGTGCGACAACCAGTGGGCCGAAATGGTGAATGCCTGAGACGTCCTCGGTGGCGATATCTCTCAAGTAGTGGTTTGCAAAACCATGTCTGATTTCCAGAAGCAGCCCTCCATTATCGTCTGTAGCGAGCAATTCCCATGTAGAGCGAGTGTTGACGCCAGCACTCTAACTTCGTGTGGGTTGGAGGCTCTTGGAGGATCAAGTCCTGCTGCCTTGTAGGCTCGTACTATGACAGTTCTGATCCAGATTGATATCGTGAGTCGCGGGGAGACCTCCGTCTGTGTAAGCTGTCGATATCGGGAGGAAAGTCGTTTGAATTTCGTCTCCCTAGTTCTGGATTGTTGTAAATATATTCTCAATGCTCTCACTGGGCACAATGATAAGTCATGGGTATCTTGTGGTCGAGGGCCGGAGGATAATGCTGGGGCGTGGAATTGTCTGTCCGGTTGATCTGGCAGTTGATTCTTTGAGATGAAATCCCATCGTAGTCCCATATGCACTGTTGATTTTCATCAAAAGCGTGTTCTCTAAGTAGTCTAGAGCATGTATTTCCGACATAGCTGCTGTTGCTAGGGATAGCAGGAACAGCGTCTTTTGTCAATCAGAATTGAAGGATGTCGTTTCTAATGGTTCATAGGCGTCACTGGTGAGATGTCGTTGAACAACGTTGAGGTCCCGCGCCGGAGCTTTGAATCTCTGTTGTTGGTCCTCCAATTTATAAGAGCGTAACAAGGCCAGTAACTCTGGTACTTTCGTTAGCTTGCCACCTGTCCTCATAGTGATGACTGAGCTCAATGCGCTAGGTATGTTGAAAGCATGGATCCTTTTAGCGCTTTGTTTGCCGTAGGTGACAAAGGTAGTCCGCCACTTGAGGGTGTAATGCTTTTCTAGCTGAAAAACCGTTTCTGGCAGCATATGTCTCAAAGCTTAGCCACTTGTCGTCGTCCGTACAAGTTGCGTGTAGACTAGCGATAAAGCTAGTGTCACTGCTTTAAGCTGCTCTGGCGGAGTACCCTCTCTTGTTCAAGCACACCTTGATACAGTCCCACGCGTGTAGTTGGAATGTCCCTAGGTTACCGTGAGCCTGCTTTGTGTGAGGATGTAATGAGTAGATTCGACCACTCTGGTAGTTGCAGCTGTGGTGGTCCTAGTTCTTGTATGAGAATGGGGAACCACATTCTAGCTGGCCAGTAAGCGACCAAAATCAGTTGGAGGTTCCTGGTCTGGCTGATTTTCTGCAACACCCTCAGTAGTAGCTGGTGGTGGAAACGCCGTAGCTCCTGGAATGTGGCATGCTCTTATGTGGATGTTCAGATCGGTGATTAGGTCGAACAGTTGAAAGCAGAGGTCCAGCAGATTCAGTGATCGTGTTGATCCTTGCTTGTTTATGTAGAAGCGCCACTGTGGAGTTGTCCGTGTGTACCATGAGATCGCATTCTGTAGAATGTTGCTCCAATCGAGTATGGCGTTGGCGACTGCTTTCATTTCTATCATGTTGATGTGCAGACTTTTCTCTTCCTTGGTCCATTTTCCGGCTGCCACATCGTTGTCGAGATGTGCTCCCCAACCTTGGAGGTGACCGTCGCATACAGATGAGTCTTGCACTCCGGCTCTGCTAGATAGATGCCTTCGCAGACATTATGCTCTCTGGGTCCACCATAGTAGATGAGGTCTGAGGTAGTCCGGGAGACCGAAGGGGTCTGGGTCGTCGAGATGAGCATTGATGAGGACCTGTAAAGAGGCGTAGCTGTAATCTCCCTCTGGCTGTCATGTCTTGTGCAGGCGTGAGGAGACCAACAGACTCTGCCACTGTCGTAGTGGCCACGCGGAGAGTAGGGCTTGTGGGATTGTCTGTTGAATCTTGAGCCATCGGTCCTCTGGAATGCGGCGATGCGGTTCTGCGTCGAGAAATCTGATGCCTAGGAACTGCAGGTCCTGCGTGGGTTCTAGGTCCGACTTGAGTAGATTCACTAACCACCCCAGCTGTGTAAGCAGTTTGATGGTAAAGTTCAGCTGTAGTCTGAGATGCTTGGGATCTTGATGTACTTGAATCCGTCGTCGAGGTAAAAGGCACTCGCGTAGACCTCGATGATATAGATATATGACTATGGGTTTTCGTCACTCTTGTAAACAACCAAGGGGCCGATGATATTCCAAATGGCAGGACCTTCCATTGGTAATGTAGCCCGTCCAGTGTAAACCTCAGGTACTTCCTCGAGTCTGGATGTACAGGAATATGCAGGTAGGAAGCGTCCTGTAGATCTATGCTGGCCATGTAGTCCATCGGACCCGGACCGAGGTGGATTAGTTGAGGTAGATGTATCATCTTGCGGAACTTGGGAGGTCTGCTCAGATAGTCTCTGTTGAGCGTGCTCATATTGTAGATGAGTCGAACTTTTCTTTGGAGTTTTTCTTGGGCAGTAGGAAAACTGGGGAGTAGAAACCTGGCGTGATGTTGGTTTGATCTACGACCTCTATGGCTCGCTTTACTAGTAGAGATGAGACCGCCTCTCGTAACTTCTCTATCTGATGAGTCTTGAAGTCGAACTTGTGAGGGTTGACTGTAAGCGATGGAGCAGCCTGTAGTTGTAAGCGATATCCGTTTCTTAGGATGTTGGATACAAACGGATCTTGAAGTATTCCCCAGTTTTCCCAGTGTAGCTGAAGGCGTCCACCCACTTGTGAAGGTTGTACAGGAAGGGCTGGGGGTGGAAGACTCCAGTCGTTCCGAACCCTTCTTTCATCGTCGATAATCCCTGGCGCCTCTGGGTGCCCTGCCTCGTCCGGACCTTGCTCTGTAGTTGCCGGCTGGGCGATGAAAGGAACTTTTTCCGCCTCTGGAGCTACCCACTTTCTTGTCCCGTGCTCTCTGTATCCCAGGAAACTTGGACTTGCCCGAGTAGCGCTGGGATGTTTGCCTGATGACGCTGGCCAGAGTATCTATGGACTTGAACATAAGGACCTCCCTTGAGTCTTTGGTAACTTCCTTGGCAACCACGTTGATTCCTCCGGCGAAGATGGAAGGAGTTGACCACGGGGCTGTGTAGAGTGACTTGGTAAAGTGGTCACTCCAACTGCAGGAGGCGAGGAGACCTTGTCGACGTGCCAGTGTCAGCGCTGCGGAGATGGATGGTCTGTCATAAACTGTTGGTCCTTCTTCTGCATAAGGAGGGCAGAATATATCATCCTATCTTCCTCCGCAGTAGAGTCACGGAATTTGGCGATGAGCGTTTCGTTGACTGCCCTTGATCTGTTGAGGGCCGAAGAACATCGCCTGGTCATAGTTTCAACTTGTGCCAACTTTTGTCTTCAATGTTGTAAGAGTTGGCCTTGGCACCACTGATGACTTTGAAGTTCTCATCGATGTCCTGTGCCTTCAGGAATGGATCCATATTGTGGAAGGAGAACTTTTTGGCGTTGAACTGTGGTAGATGCGGCACTTGGGCTTTTGTGGCTGACTTGAAGGCTGCGTCCAGGTTCTCTGGGACCGCTGCGATGGGATCAATCGGAGGGAGAGTGATCGTGTCGACATCATCATCTTGCATGAGATAGGTGTGAGCTGGATTATCATCCTTAGATGGAGATGCCAAGTCTAGACCGTTGGCCATCCAGTAGGTATTTCAGCGTCTGAAAAGATGATCCCGCCGTCATCCTCAATGACAGGAGTGTTGAGTAAGGGACGTTGATCCTCCTCCGATGGTGATCGAGGTGGAGTCCTTCGCGAATGCGGTGACCTGTGTGGAGACCTGCGCAGAGACCTGCACGGAGACTTGTGTGGCGACCTTCGTGGAGACCTTAGTGGAGACCTGCGCGGAGACCTGCGTGGAGATCGGCGTGGAGATCGGCGTGGCGAGTGGCCCGGCGAACTGCGTCTGTAGGGTGACCTGCGCGGAGATGAGCGACTGTGGGTTCGCGAATGTTTCGGCGAATCCCTCGACGATTTGCATGATGCGGAAGATGTCTTGGATACTGTATCTGAAGTCCTTCGCGAATGCCTTCGCGAACGCTGATCATCTGTTTCGCATCTGGGGAATGGCGACTGGTCGCCGCGATAACGCCAGCGGAACACCTTAGCGAGCGCTGGTCGTCCGATTCTGTATCCGGGATTGGTGATTCCTCCTTCGCGAAACGCCGAGAATGCTGATCGATCTGAATACGTAGCAGGTGATGACCGAAGTCGTCCCAGCGAATGCCGCCAGCGGATGCTGATCGTCCCGAGTCCGAGCGCAGGAGATGGTTGAGTCGACCTTGCCAGCAGGCTGGTCCTGGAGTGTAGATCTGCTGCTTGATGTCATGTTGATGGAGGGCCCCTCAGAGACGACGTCTGCGTTGGAGCCTTCGCGAAGGCTCGGGACCTCTTTCTGGGCTGGCTGTGACTTCTTCTCCTGGCCGTAACACTGCTGCATCATCTCCATGATTTGTTGGGAGAACTGCTGCATAAAGTCCCCCGGGTTGAAGGTCTGCGGTGGTAGTAGCACTGCCCTTTCTGCGGTGATAGCGACGTGGCCCACAGGACGCTCATTTGTTGTCAGCGTAGATACCTCGGGTTGCGTGGAGATCTGCGCTGAAGTCACCGTAGCTGAGACTGGTCTTTTCTTGGGATGAACCTCTGGGATGATAATCGGTTGATCATCGTAGAGTCCCATTTCCGTCAACGGGACAATCTCGGCTGAGAAAGTCCGTGTTGTCTGCGCTGACTTCCCCGTGGTGGCGGACGACGCCCTGGGGGTGAGGAGTCAGCGCTGGGTGGTTGACGACTTCCGAGTCTTAGGCTGAGACGACGGGATGTCCGGAGTAGCAGGTCTCTTCTTGGAGGTGGCGGACTTCGTCCCACGCCTCTCCTCCGAGGGAAATTCCAGCGGAACACCAGACGGAAGGGGGTCGTCAGACAGCAGATGACTGTTGATGGACTCCGCTGATTTATCCATGACTGGATCAACCCGTCTAGACCTATCTGCAGCACGTCTAAGGACGCAAAGAAGGTATTTATTAAATGCACAAGTAGTTAAATGCTTGCAATTAATACAGCGGGAGCTGAAAGAACATGGTACCGTGCAGCTAGGGCACAATTGATGAGGGTCAGCAGCAGAGAAACGTAATCTACAATTGGAACAATTTTTCATGAACGTAAACAACTGAACAAACACGGACTAACCCGTGAATAAACAGTGCTAAATACGATTAAACATGAAACCATAATGTTGAAATATACTAGCTAAACCTCTATAATAGTATAATAGAGGTGACTAACTAAGTAATGAAAGGATATAGTGCCGTTATAAGAGACACAGGCTCTCACAACCTGCTCACAGGGCGAAGAAGGAGAGAGTGAAGGCGTGGGGAAACAGTGAAAGCCACTTTTCCCGCAAAAACCGAAACAGAGATAACTCTGGTGAGTAGTGATTTTTTCGTCGTTTTATTGAAAGGAGCTTCAATAAAGAGATACAAGTGTTCCACTATGTTAAGCAAGAGGAAGAAGACAAGCAAATAAGCATGAGTCAGGATAAGGAAAAATATTAGGACACCCAATTGAGATGAACAAAAGCGAGTAATTAACTCAATGACCCAAAAAGTTATCTGTAGCACTGTTATTTTATTATGCATATGTGTGAATGATTGTTATTATGGCATTAACATATCTGTTTGAATTAGTTTTGAGTAATTTCCAACACAATAGGATGTGTGGTCAAATTACAAAAATAATTACAAAAAATGCAATTTCTTAAACTGGGATGAATATCGATTTGAACTTTGAAGTTTGCAAACAGTTAGAAGTCTGTGCAGGAAGTAAAAAATGGTCTATTTGTTGTTTTTTCACATTTGTGGAAACAATTTATTGGGCTTTCAAATGTCTTAACCAAGTAATTCAAAACCATACCCTGATTTTCAGTTTGAACTAGACAAACCAGATAAAAACAGATGCATAGTGGTTTTCTGAAAATTAAGTGCACCATGACACTTTATAATGAGAAGGAAATCTTTACATGTTTTAAATCTGTGTGTTTCATATCAGTTGACGTTGATTGTGCATAAATTATTTTCTTATTATCTTTTGACCAAACATTTGTTACATCACTCCAGCACAATGCAAACAAAGACATGTAAGAATTTACATTCCTTACAAGATGTGTTGTCCTAGTGGTAGCAACTTCATTCCATTTGACAATTTACTCTTAAAAAGTCTGTTGCTGTATTTCGTGTAGTCATCATATCTTTTAACTTTTCAAATCCATCAAAGATATTATCACCAGGTTTGACATTATAACAAAGGATTTCAAATTAATAATATTTTTTCATTGTGGCTCTTAGCTCATGATGGTTGACTCTGTGAACTGAAAGATTAAACAATGTTGCATTACATTATCTACCCAAGTTTACCCTTCACCTTCAGGACACATCCTATGATATCAACTAGCAACATACACCAACATCTGATTCCAAGTGAGTGAAATTCACCCTTATAGCATCACAAAATATCAGTAAAATCATTTTAGACAACACAAACTGTAGTAATGTTTGACTAACTAGTCTTCACTGACTACATGAAGTCAAAGGCTGAGTATACCAGAATATGAAAGGACTATTTGTAGAATTTTTTTGGACAAAGAGATTTATGTTTGTTGTGAGTATCAGAAGTATTGTTTCAATGTTGAACAATGTAAAGTGTGAGTTAGTTCTGTTTTACACTACTTTTAACAATATTCCAGCTATATGAGGCATGGCAGAGAACACTAGAAATAGTTTCACACATTATGATTGTACCAATGCATGGCTCGATTTAGTGCTTGTTACTTGCACTTGTTTCAACCCAATATTACAAAGTGCAACCTAGTTATTAGTCTAACTTGCACCAGGTGCAAGTCAAAGTTTTAAACTTCAGCTGGAAAACAGAATGATGAGGAACTGACTTGGAAGAGTGACTCTGATGACTGTATGAGCAGTGACTGAAGGGCGTACTGTTCATGAAATTTTAGGAAGTAAGATAACTAATGTTAAGCGGTCCCAGATTTCTTTTGTTATAATGTACTAAACTATTATTGCAAAACTCAAGCATCATACTTTATACAAGATTTTATATTGAGCAGCAGGTGCAACCTGTTTTTGTCTGATGCAACAAAGGATTCTACCTAAGGTTGCACTAGGTGCAAGTAGGTTTCATTTCTTTAAATCGAGCCCTGCAATGTGGCAAATCAGAACCTTGGTCTTTAGCATGGCGTTAAGCAATTATTAAAGGGGATTAGTTATTCTTACATTTTCCCATGAAATGATAAATAACTTGCAGGTGATGAAAACTATGAAGCTAGAAGACCTAAATATCTCCCCTAAACTTTCAGACTCTGCAAGTAAGAAGAGCTCCAGAGCTGCCTAAGTAACATATGCATTGAATGCTTCCCTCAATAAATATAATGGTTAATTACCAAGGTTAATTACTTGTTGAAATGTTGAAATATGTCCATGTGGTTATCAAGCTTCTTTTGTCAAGTAATCTTTTGATTATGCTGTTTATTGGTCCATGGTTTGCTTAGACACACAGCTGCAAGACTTCAACAATTTAAGCCATACAAATACAAGTGGAATAATATTTACTAATTATTTGGAAACTCTGCCGAATATATAGCTATGGTGCGCTCTGTGACATGTGACACACTTTAACCGGTGAGCACATGAACACAAAATTTGAGTTAAGTCTAAAACAGCATTCAGCAGAATTATATTCTTTAATGCTATATGTTGAAATACCCAATTGCCTGGAACCTAAAAGTGAGTAAAGTCGTGTACAAGATACCAAAATACCAAAATATTTATATCCAGCTAGAATGATTTCAAGGGGGTGGAAATATATTGGTTTCTGGACTGCGATACTAATCTGGGTTGTAACAAAGCTAGCTATGGAAATGCAGAATATTTAACAATTAAGAGTATTAATTACGCAAAATATAGAGGTAAGAGTTCCTCCCATTCCCCAATCCCAAATAATATTTACAAATATACAAAATTATTAACAAAGTCAACACAACAACTACTAGAGAACTCACAAAATGACTAAAAGTCCAAAATTTCAGTTAGGTTTAGAGTTAGGATTAGGGTTAGGGGAACGGAAGGAACTCTTTCCCGTATATACGTCTTTGTATGTGCTATTGAACATTCTCTACTCAAAATGATAAATTGATATAAAACACGATATATGCTGAAGACTCAGATTTGTTTTAAACCTTACCTCATACATATCTGGTAACTTATTGATCCTCAAATACTTCCTTAGATCTGGGTCTAATCCTTTCAATGATGCTGCCATTTTGAAAGCTTTTGGAAAGTACAGTTAAATATTCTGTATTATTTTCGAACTTCGAAAACTAAGACTACTTCGCCATATTTGTTTCAGGTAGCAACGGGACAGTAACGGATTACCTCCCTTTATTTTCGGGCACGATCGTTTCTTTCGGAACAGCCGTTTCGTTTCGTTTATTCTTCATTCCGCGTTTTGATTTTCTTGCATGCTGGGATTGCTACCGCCATTATCGTTGACGTCACTGTTAGTGGTTGGCTGAATTGACGTGGCAGGCATATTACTTGTTCTCACATGTGAAGCAGTTCAACATTTTGGAAGAGAGGTTGATAAACGTATACATCAAGTCCCATTTATATTTATTTTGCTGAACTGAGTACATTTTATCAGCATGGGTCTGTCAATATCATCAGTCTTTCAGAGACTCTTCGGGAAAAAACAGATGAGAATCTTGATGGGTGAGTTTACTTCCTGTCCATTTGTTAGCATGACAGTTTTTTTTTGCGATGTGGCCACGTTCATTCTTTCTGTTGTCTTACTGTGAAGTTTATTGGTTGTATAATTACATCGCAATTGTTTGTTCGATAGAAAAATCCACAAACTAAATACATGAACTGAGAAAATTTGAGTGAAATACAGTAAACTTGAATTTGATATTAATGCTACAGGTTTAGTAATTTTATAAATTCCGATGTTCATTATTCCCAAATACTATGTGTTAGGAAGACAAATAGTGAAAATATATAGTATGGTTACCGAGTGTATAAAGGGTTATCATTATGTGTTAGTGTTATTCTGGCTGCCACATAGGAATATCCCATCCTGTGTGGTATTGCTGTGCCAAGTTTATTTCTTAGTGACGTTGTGAAAACTCTATGCCTTACTCTTGAATAAAATCTTCATAAAAAATACACGGTTTTACAGCCTTCAAATTTCACAATGTAAAAGCTCAATCATTTACCTATCTGAAATATTTGTGAAGTGTTACCTTGATTGTGCATGAGAAGTAGCTTTACAAAATAATGTGATTTTTTACAATATGTCCATGTCAGTTGGTGTTTTTACATTGTGCATTAGGTGGTATAACTTGTAAGTTTAGATTTTGCTTCTCTGGCACCAAATGTGTATTCATTGTATCGTGACACATGTCGATCAGTTCAAAATACTTAAATAGCCCCACTGGGCGATGTTGGACCTTTCCTTTGCACATCTTTGAAATGTGCATTCAGAAGAATGAGTGCGTTAGTCTGGTTTCCACATATATACTGGTTATATGTCCATGAAGATTGGGGTCAAAATTAGTCTTGTAAGAGGCAAATAACTGCTCATGCTATTGATCACTGGGTGGTCTTGTTCAGACTCAATTATTTTTAGACAGTTGTCATACAACTAGAACAATGCTCAGTGCCTCATTAAAAAGCAAACATATGTCCTGGCTAAAGTTTTCGTTATCCCCTGCAACACGTTTTGCAGGGGATGTTAAAATGGACTCAGTCATTGCACACTTGTCTTTTCCGGAGCAGAACTCTAAAACCGTTCAATGTTTCTTCGCCAAACTTGACACATAGATTGGTCTGGTGGTGTACTGGTTCCTTTTTGGTAGGTTTGGAATTCTGAATAAAATATTTTTGGTATTTCCATGGCGACAAGTTTGACTAAAACAGAAATTAGTGGTGGTGCACATTTCCGGAGCTGAACTCTAAAACCGTTAAATGTTTCTTCACCAGACTTGGCACATACATAGATCTGGTGGTGTACTGATGCCTTTTGGTAGTTTTGGAATTCTGAATAAAATATTTTTGGCATTTCCATGGCAACAAGTTTGACATAGACTGAAATTGGTGATAGTGCTCCTTTCTTGAGCAGAACTTTAAAAACCTTTCAATACTCTCCTTCTACATTTCTATATACACACCTGAATATTTGACATAATCATAACTCGTAGACATAATCATGATGAGTTTTTTGCCATTGCGGGGGATATTGATGACTTTGTCTTCTTGTTTAAACTTACAGTGGTGTGATTGTGAAGATTTTACAGAACAACGAATAAGACGTTGCTTCAAAAAGGCCAATTGTGCTTTCAAATGTTTAGCATATCTCATTATGTCTTGGCCATGTTCAACAGTGTTTCTAATTTTGGATTTATATCATTTGAAAGCAGTCGAGAAAGTCAATGTTATTTTGACCCTGCCTGTTTTGACTTATAGCGAATAAAAAAATGCAGGTTTTCTGTGGCAATAGTAGTGCTAGGCCCAGATTGTGTTTTCAGCTTTGTTTTGTAAATTGTGGTGCAAATGATCATGATAATATGCATTGATTGTATGCTATGCTTATATTTCCAGTTGGTCTTGACGCTGCTGGTAAAACAACAATTCTCTACAAATTGAAGCTGGGTGAGATAGTCACAACTATCCCAACAATTGGTGAGTGTTTCTTGCAATCAGTCAGAATAAACAAAACAATGCTTTTGTTTGGTTTTATTCTTGTTCCAACTTTTCATTTAAAAGGTAATCAGGATCTTCTAATCTGAGTTTTAAAAAAATTGCTCCAGCCTAGTGTTTATGCGGTGCCATCTTTATGAGAAGTTTGTGGCAGCAGCAGCAGCTTCTATATTTTGGAGTGTACTTTTTCAGGTTTTAATGTGGAAACAGTAGAATACAAGAACATCAGCTTCACGGTGTGGGATGTCGGTGGCCAGGACAAGATCCGACCATTGTGGAGGCATTACTTCCAGAACACTCAGGTGACCATTGTGAACAAGAAATATACATGTTCCCGCCGAGTGTTATGTGAGCTTAGTAAGGGATGTCTGCTGGTGATTTCAGACTCTTTGTGGTTTGCTGCTGTAGCATTTGAAAGCCCTGAGGCATGTAACTTGTGTTTTTCGGTAGAGAAATTTTGGGCATTTTCATGAATATTTTGGACCCGTGAAGATCAGGGGTAGAATAGGTCTTCAGCAACCTATGCTTGCACAAGGCGACTATGCTTGTCATATGACATATGTCAGACGTAGCTTCATTATAAACGCGAGCTGAGGTAAAAAGTAATACCTTCCATGCTGAAACTATTAAGGATGTAGCTACCATGGAGTCTCACTGTCACTATGTCACTATGGTTCGTCTCAAAAGCAAAACGGGTGTCGCAGACAATCTTTGGGGTCAGGCTGGGGGATAGAGATATCAGCTAAGATAAGATAATCCTTCAGGGTAATTATACTGGGGTAGTACACATCATAACAATTTACAAATAATATCCTGTCCTGTCAACCTTCGCGATCGGGTGGTCATACCACCTATATATTTTGAGACATTTAATACTATACGTTTCTATGGTTATCAGGTATCATACTCAATAGAAGAGACATAGTCAACACACATGAAAAAGCACAAAATATCTTTGAGATGACCCCTTGTGCCTGTAGGCAGCACATGCATTTCATGCCAGATGAGTTGGACGGTCCGTCGTCATACCTGGCTGAGTGCCCTACTTGCCATCTATAGTCTGATCTATTGTTTTCAGCAGCTATTCATATTTTTTCTAAGTTGTGCCCGATTTTACGTAAACATGCTTTTCTGGATATCTTATTACGCATCCCACTGAATGCCAAGTTAGGCCGAAGTTGGTTATTTCGACATATGCTATTTGCAGTTGTGTAAATTTTAGGAATACAGAGTAACAGCCTAAAAACAGGGTTTTTTTCTATTTCCGCCAGTACTTTAGTGCTAGGCTGCTTGTTAATAATGACAGTTTGCAGAATAGGTCTTCAGCAACCCATGCTTGCACAAGGCGACTATGCTTGTCGTAAGAGGCGACTAACGGGATCGGGTGGTCAGACTATCTGATTTGTTTGACATATGTCATCGTAGTATGATGTGGTCATGTTGTTGATCACTGGATTTTCTGGTCCGAACTCGATTATTTACAGACGCGCCATATAGCTGGAATATTGCGAGTGCAGCGTAAAATTAAACTCACTCATTCTCTCCAGTTATAATTGGTCTTCAGTCTTCATGGGTTAGACTTAGATCAATGCTAATGACCATGACTAGATTGTCTGCTCCAGACATAATGATTCACAAACAGGCGTGATATAGCTGGAATATTGCTGGGTGCAGCGTTAAACAAAACACCTAAAACAATCTAAGGATAATCATGTGATAATAAACAAGAGATCTGAGCTAAAGTACTGTTGGAAATACTGTTGTATTATATCTACAATTTATGTAGTTAATATAAGAAAGTGTGAAATATCTGTTAAATTAAGTTGTAGGGAAATAGGAAACGTAGAAAAAGGACTTTACTGAGGAGAGATTAGTGCGAAATGAGCAGTCCAAAGCAACTTATTTGGAACAGACCATGGCTTTATTCAAATTAGTGTGCGATGATATTGTATTACAAAGGACACTTTTAGATGCCCATTTTGTAATTAAACTTAGCTTCATTATACCACGATAGCTGACATGAAAATACTGACTTTAGCACTGAAACTAGATGAAACATATTCAACACACATAAAAAGCATAAAATATCTTTGAGATGACCTCTTGTGCCTGTATGCAGCACATGCATTTCATGCCAGGTGAGTTGGCCGGTCCGTCGTCATACCCATTTCTGTTGTGCCATTACTTTTATGAGTATGCTGAAGGAAATAGATGCAAGTGTTTCCATGGCATTTAACTGGTGCATCTTGTTTACTAGTCACTGTTTTGTTCCAATCTTTTGAGGGGGAATCAAGTTATGTTCACTGACAGGCTACTTTTTAGTCAATTGCTGATAATACATTGCATCGGACAAATGCTGTTTTGTTGACATTGGGGTCATTGATTATGCTGTTTGTATGGTCATGTTTAAACATATGCACTGCTTCACCTTTCTCCCTCTCTTTCTCTCTAAGTACGTTTTAGCATTTGCATTTTCAGTTTATTTAATACAAATTTCTGTGAAGTCTTTAGTGTTAGTTTGTGTTTGTGTGTCTGTCTGTCCAAACCATTAAGCATTTGGGGTTTGTTGGAAGAAGAATCTTTGACTAAAATATTTTCTTTTGTTTTCAGGGTTTGATCTTTGTAGTAGACAGTAATGATAGTGAACGTTTATCAGAAGCTAAAGATGAACTGTCTAAAATGGTAAGTGTTTTATTGGTGTTAGTGAGTAACTGTCTTTCTACTTCTGCTAGCTCTCAGGTAATGTGTTTTCACAAATGACATGATGTGTGCAACACCATTGACAAATATGAATGTCAACACAGCATCATGCTGTACATGTAGTGGTTAATTGCAAGACTAGTTAGTTAGATGACCCTTGAAGATGTGGGTTAGAATTGGTCTTCAGCAACCTATACTTATCGTAAGAGGCGAGGAACAGGATCAGATGATTGTATTCCATCTGCATAGATTGATGTTCATTTTGGTCACTGGATGGTCTGGTCCAGTCTTGAATAAATACAGATCACAAGCTAGAGATCTGACAAAGCATCAGAAATGTTTTAAGATGAGATCCTGGAGATTATGCTCCAGGCTACCCATTCCTGGGTTTGCAGGCAGTTGTAGGTTTCACCAAAGTGATAGAACCTGGAGGAAGTGTAAGTCCTGCATCACTTTTGACACACAATGGTGAAGCTGAAATACCATGACTACAGTTACTAGGAATTACCTTGTTCAGCTGAGGGGCGGTGAGGTAGCCCAGTGGTTAAAGCGTTGGCTCGTCACGCCGAAGACCTGGGTTCAATCCCCACATGGGTACATCGTGTGAAGCCCATTTCTGGTGTCCCCCGGCGTGATGTTGCTGGAATATTGCTAAAAGCGACGTAAAACCAAAGTCAGTCGGTCAGTTCAGCTGAATTGTAGAGTAAGGTTTCAGAATGGATTTGAGGATGTATATGACTATGCTAGTCAGTGCTTGTCTGTTTGAGAATGATTGTTGTTGTCATGATCATGATGTTGATCAGCCTGTTTTCTATTTTTCAGTTACAAGAAGATGAACTGAAGGAGTCTGTAGTCCTTGTATTTGCCAACAAACAGGATCTACCCAATGCCAAGTCCTGCTCTGAACTCACGGACGCGCTAGAACTGAATTCATTACGCAGAGAAGTAAGCCAATGTTATGAGATCATTCATTCTAGAATCTGAGACTGAAGATCCGGGTTAGAATTGGTCTTCAGGAACCAATGCTTGTCGTAGGAGGCAACTAACAGGATCGGGTGGTCAGACTCTCTGATTTGTTTAGTATATGTCATCGTAGTATGATGTGGTCATGTTGTTGATCACTGGATTGTCTGGTCCAAACTCGATTATTTACAGACCGCCACCATATAGCTGGAATATTGCTGAGTGTGGCGTTAAACAACAATCAATCATTCTTGGATCTGAGACTTGCAATGCTTTAAAACTTTGCACTTTCGATTGTTTCATCCGATAGAAATGAACTTGTATACAGTGGTACCCCAAAGTCTGGAGCCAGTCCATCAGGGACACCCTAAAAAGTTCTGCTACTAGTAGTACTATGTTCAAACAGCAGTTGAGAATAGGATCTTAAATGGTTAACATGGTGGGGACCATGGAACCACATCAGAAAGCAGTGATATATTAATCCCAGGTGCCAGCACCGTCAAGATAAATGGTTTTGTGTAAATGCATGTCCGTTCAGTGTTTGAAAACAGAAACCAATTGATGATAAAACAAATTACGTGGATCAACTGGTGATAACGATGATCGTCGCAATACTAACATAGTATTCTTTTTCAGTGGTTCGTGCAAGGTACATGTGCCACACAGGGTACAGGTCTGTACGAGGGTCTCGACTGGCTATCGAACAAGTTGCAGAGCAAGTGATTGTGATGTGGCTGAAGAAACAATCATCATTTGTCTTCTGTATGTGCTGCAGCTGTAACCACAAGGACTTCAACAGACGACACCCATCCAAATATCACATACCAAAGCCTCCAGCATATAGGAGGAGGAGAAGCTCGTGTATCAAATCCTCATATAGCCGACTGAAGCCAGTCATCTGTAGCTGGTAGTCTGCAGCACATGCTGAATTCATTGTGGGAATTGTGAGTGAAAGTCGTCTGTATCGTATGGCAGTTTGCCTGGTAATCATATTAGCACTGGGCCAGACATACAGACTTTTGGGTGGGGTGGGAGGGGTGGATATATATATATATTTTTTCTTGTACATTGTCATTCCTATATTGGCTCACCCTGTATATTTATGTTTTTGTGTATTCTTCATCATTCACGGTTATTGTAACTCTGGTTTTATTGTTTATGGGCTCTGGCCTCATCACCTGTTCATCATGTCCAGAACAGCAAGATGGCTATCGTCAGTACTTCAGCTTTGTGTACACAAGATCATCCATCACCCATGGATACATGTTTAACTGTGAGTGGTAATAGTTACAAATATATATTTCAGTTAACTGATATAATTGTTTATAACTATTGGAAGTCAAATTACCTCCCCTTTCTGTGAAGAATACCTGGCATTCCCACTATTAAAGCAGTGTGTTAAGAATACAAACAGCACTGCATTATAACCTAATGTATTCACAACTGATAGAGGAGCGTAGTGTATACGAGACAGTTAAGTATTGACAATACTTGGTAACTGTCATTTGCGTTTTGTTTGAGTTTTATGCACGCAGGTGTTTCAAGAATGGCATGGCACCTTCATATATACGGTTCTAAATGGTGATGGGATGTGAATGGTGGCATTTAACACTTTCAGCCCTTGCTCTTCATAAATAACACTTGCTTGTTATAGTGAATGTACAGGTTATCATTTTATGTGAATGCATGTTTTGTGTAAAGGTCATTTGGTTGGAAATTAACGACTTGGTATATGAACGGAAAACATGTATATTCAGAAGCAGAAGATATGGGAAATGATTCTGGTTTGTTGTTGCTTATTAGTTTAATTATGGCTGAAGAAAATCATGCAAAAATCCTGATACACACAGACTTGTATGCAGATAATTTCTTAATTTGTTTTAATTTTTACTCTGTTCATGGTATGTTCATCAGTGGAGGTTAGAATGCCACGGGTGAAAATGAAAGTTCCTTATGGCTTCATTAAGATGTAGAAAAGCAAATAGCAATATGACTAACCCGTGTGTTTCTTTCAATTGAACAAAAGGTCTCTATTTCATCTCAAAGAATCTTTTACAAGTTAACCTGTGTGGGGTATCTTGAAGTGATTTCTTTTTTCAGATGGTTGACCTTGAGTTTGTTATGGGTTCAACTGGTGAGAGTAGGAAAGCACGGAACTTGGGGAAAATCCATTGTTGACTTTGTTACACAACTTGTATATACTGGTATTATGGATTTTAGTGGTATGTGTAGTTACGACTATGTGTGGGTTGTACTTTGCCCTCAGTGTAGTGCTTATTTGTACAGTGGTACTGGCAGGTCATTTCTGAAATAATTCTACCATTGAAAATATGACGACCATGGTAAGGTATATGTTACAAAACCAAGTTGGTAATTTTGATGGACATCGTTACATATATTTTGGTGGTCGTTTCACAAAAGGAGGAAGAAAACCTTATTTACTTCTTATGAAGTTTGGAATTTGAGTTATGTTGTTGAAATATGCATGCACAGCCTTCTTCAATTGCCTTCAAGGTCAGTCTTCTGGGCGATGGTTTTCTAAAGGTGATGAGACAATGTGTTTGTGTGTGGTGACAGCTGGTACTTAGCTTGTACATAACATCATCACTCTGTAAGCCTACTCACATCAAACCTGGTCATGTGATAGGGTGGATATGAATGATAATAAAAGCTATGAGATAAGAGGTTGTTGTTTGTAGTTTATGCTAGAGTACAATGTCTGTTATTACCACAGGAACAGTCCTATATGCTGTTGAAAGCAATATTCCAGCTATATGGCAGCAGTCTGGAAATAATCAAGTCTGGACCAGACAATCCAGTGACCAACAGCATGAGCATCGATCTACACAATTGGTATAGTGTCGACCAAGTCGGAAAGGTTGACCCGATCCAGTTAGTCACCTCTTACCTCAAGCATGGGTGCTGATGACCAATTCTAACCTGAATCTTCATGGGTCTCCCTGTATGCATGGCATAGATTGGAAGTAAGGTGTAGGGTTGAGTAGATGGTTGGCAGACTTCAGAAGCTTGCCTGTGTATTTCTGAGGCATCAGATCCTGACCCACACTAAAACACATCTTGCAAGAGGCGATTTAGAAATATGACTTCACCTAGCAGTGAATGGGTATCTGGAAGGAGGAGATGGTGGGATCCACAGAGATCCGTTGAATGGAGTAATAATGATTTTAGTCTTTGAAACACACCTGTATGGAGTTTAGAAGTATATAGAAATACTTCTTGTAATATTACTGATGCTGGCTAACGAAGTATTAGGGGGAAATGGGTGGTCCATCATGAATTTCTACCATATGTACAAGTACTAAAAAGTACAAACAATTTATTGTGGTATTACGGGCTTTCCGTACAATCCATTAGTGGTTTTTAATCGACAGTTGCGTGATCAAGAAAATTGGTGAAGGGAGATAACTCGTGACTTCAAAATAAAAGCTCGAAATCCTTGTTTCGACGCCAGTGATTTTACTAACTACATGTTGAGTAGGAAATAACTATTATAAGGTATGCACAAAGAACTTAATTAAGCACCCCCTGTATTTTTGCAATGATTGGTTTTCAACACGTACATAAACTTTCTCGTGGTGCGGCGGGGTCACAGGGGCTTGTATTTGCTGAAAAAATACGTCCTGGGTCCTACAAGCGTACACTGATATCCATATACCTTCTTTATATGTAGACCGCCTCCGTGGTGTAGTGGTTAGAGCGTCCGCCCGGAGTGCGGAAGGCGCGGGTTCGATCTCCGACTGCGTCATACCAAAAGACGTTAAAATATGGTACTTGTTGGTCCCTGCCTGGCGCTCGGCATTAATGGGTACAACAAGGACTGGTCGGCTCGGAGTCAGCATAATGTGTCTGAGTGGGGTATTCATGCTTCACTGCGGCATGGTATCTCAGTGAGCTAGCACTATAAAACCAGCTTCAGTCTGGGCTAGTACAAGCAGCCGCACATACACACGCATGCACGTCGTCATATGAGCGAAATATTCTCAAGCACGACGTTAAACCCATTTTCACCTCACCTCACCTTCGTTATGACCCTCAATTACATCCCTTTGAGGAGGGTTTTAAATGTCATAAAACCTTTCGGTAGTCATTTCTCTTACACTTACAATATGAACTTAACAAAAACAATTTAAAGAAGATCGATATCGATATTATGTTATTTTTTTTATAAAGCTGATATTGCCAGGACCGCCTAAAAATCGTGTAAAAAAATATATTGCTATTTCAGATATCGAAAAGTAAATGTAATACCAAAATATAGACTGTTGGTATCATGACCATGGAAATGTACGCCCGGTCAATAAAACTTTATTCAGTTTAGGCCCTAGTTTTTATGTAATTTTATTTTCTTCCAAACTCTCATCGGGGCGAGGCGTTCGCTTGTCACGCCGAAGACCTGGGTTCGATTCCCCACATGGGTACAGTGTGTGAAGCCCATTTCTGCTGTCCCCGACGTGATATTGCTGAAATATTGTTAAAAGCGGCGTAAAGGTAAATTCACTCACTCACTCCCACCCTCATCATGCCGAAACATTCGTGATCACTCGTGTCGTCTTGCCGGCTACGGAAAGGGGCGAGTGGTGACGATGAAGCTTTTTGCCTTCATATTTGGTTAGATAATTTATTTAAAATAAGGAATCGAAATGTAAAGATGGGAAAGCCGCAATTACTCGGGGCGCTTAGTGGCTGCAAGAGTTGTATGGTCCCCAGGTCAAGTTGAGGTTGATAATACGATGTGCCGTTGAGACTAGCATCCAATGATCGAGCGACAAAATACATACCAGCGCCTGATATGATATGATATGATATGATATGATATGATATGATGTAATATAATAAAATAACATAAACATAATATAAAGATAAGATAAGATAAGATAAGATAAGATAAGATAAGATAAGATAAGATAAGATAAGATAAGATAAGATAAGATAAGATAATATAATATAATATAATATAATATAATTTTCACAGTAGCCTATTTGCTGGAATAATATTATGTTTGATGAAAAACACGTCCTTCCCCAGCAATATCATTTCGAAACAGTATGAATACACAAGTGGAAAGTCTGTATGTCCTTTAGTAAACTTACGGAAACTTAATTGTTGTGATATGTACATATATGTAATCCCCGTACACATATAATGCTGACAAATTTATGGATAACAACTTCGTAAGTTTGGTTGGTGAGATATTTCAGTACAGATTCTTGTACCATTGAGAAGCGGTACTTCCCAGGGGAACTTTACCCACAAGGAACTTTGCCCACAGGAACTTTACCCACAAAGACCTTTGCCCACAGGAATTTTAGCCCCAGGAACTCTGCCCACGACAAATTTTACAGGGGAGGACCTTTGCCCACAATAGTAATATTATGCCCACAATAATAATACATTGCATGTATATAAAATAAGTGTGCATTATTTTAACTACACAGAAACAGCATATAATATAACATATTTAGAGAATAAAAATGAATAACACTTTAACAGTTCAATAATGAATATTTGAATTACATACATTCCGAGCAGTGTGGGTATTGAGGTGGATAGTAAGGTGAATTTGATTTTAATGGGGAAAAAAAGGAATACAAAGCAGAAGAGAAGTTTTTGAGAAGTTCAATTAATGTCTGATCTCTTTTAAAACTATATATCCTCAGCAGCGTGAATAAGAAGGTGAGTATTAATGAATGAATTTGGGGTTTAACGTCAGCTTTTAGCGGTGACAATGTCGCCGACGGGGTAGATGGGGTTTTAAATAAATAATGTAATAATGGAGTAATAGGGAATAAACCACCATACCCCAAAAAAATAAATGTAGGGGCTTTAAATTTACCTGGGTTTTTAATAAAAGCGTTTATAACGCCCAATCCCTTTCAATACTGAATAAAATATGTTCAAACAAACAAGAACATATGAAAAATGAAAAGAAATTCAAGTACTGCCATATCAATGCATCTCACTGTAATACAAATTTCACGGTTTAGTATCTCTGTGGCACTTCCCTCTGTGGACTATGAGATTTTGATTAATCTACATCCATTTACATTTTTAAATAGTCAACATAAGTATGAAATCCAAATTTTACATCACAATCAACATTTTTATCAAAGTGAACAGTTTTTTTAAAAGATACCAAATTATTCATCAAAGTCTACATAATTTTACATCAAAATCACCCTTTTTTCAAAGTGCATATTTCTTTAAAAGAAACCAAATTATTAATCAAAGTCTTCATAATTTTACTACAAAATCAACATTAAAGTCAATAAGGGTGGTAATTGTCCTCTCTGTATGGTAAAAAAAACCTGGGTGGCTTTTGTCCTAGGTGGCATTTGTCCGGGTGGCTTTTGTCCTGCTCCCCTCCCAAACAAGTTACACGTAATGTGTGAAAAGTCATTTTAATACACAGACTACAGTTGCATGTTTCAACATGACATATGTATTTCCCTTCATATGTATCGCATGAAACCACAGTAACAGCACAGTTATTCATAATAAAACTATAACTTAGATATATTTTTGGATTTGTAAAATTGTGATTGAAGTAAAATTTCAAGCATTAGTTTATATGTACATATGTATATTAGAAACATGTCAACAACTGTGGGCGTGATGCAGAGTTAGTTAGTTACTTTATTTAGCGTCGCACGCACAACTTAGGTATTTCGGCGACGGGGTAGTACACTTATTAAGAAATGATGAGGAACAAAAACATAGAAATTTTGAAAGAATGGTGTTACTACCCAAAAAAAAATAGAAACGGATTATTAAGGGAAATTTAAATGGAAGGCCGAATTCAAAAAGTAAGGAAAAATATGAAATAAGTAAAGAGTAATAGAATGACGCAGATCAGTGTTGCGTGTCTTTATGCCGGTGGATTAAAGCGCATCGCTAAATTAGTATTTAAACATATATCAAATTGACCCTGCTTGTCTTCAATGGGCAAATCAACACTATGGCTCTCAAGTAACACTTCTTCTCAGCTTTGTATAGTTATAAAAACAGATCCGTGGTCAATGTTTCACGGGGCATCGGGAGGGGGGCGATTAACGCGCATCAGGGAGGGTCAGCGTTAATGAGGAAGTTTATTGCCGAGTGCCTTGTAATCACATCTGAAATGTTTCCGGTAAACCCTGGGTATATAACAAGCATTTGTCTGTCCGGTACACAAACAGCTGACCACCACGTGTGCAGTGTCTATTCTACAAAAGATTCTGCCCTTTCTAACCGGACATCATCAGGTATAGTGGTGTTTTCATGTTGGTTTTCAAGTCTTAACGTTATACAGCATTGTAGAACATATACAGTAAGTAACGTTTATTGCAAACGCTTCAAACGAACTTTTGTGTTCGTTATGTCGATATAGTTTACTGCCATACAGTACTTCTGTTAGTTCTTTATCAATAGCTCAGTACGTACAAATGCTAATACCACCCTAAACGGATTTTCACATCTACATGGTACTGTGTATGAATAGCACTGAGGGAACGTTACTAAAACTGAAAAGGACGACAACACGACAAGTGGCTTGTGACAGATCCAACCCCAACCGATTATCCCATTCCATCCCTGATACTAGCCCCCTACCCCCATCATAACTTAGCATATAATTTAAGTCTCTGAAACAACACAGCCACCCATTTTTCCTACCCTTGCACCCTTCGGTTGTTACTTATATATTTCGGGGACTATTTATTTATGGTCTAACGACAGAATATGTGTAAGACAGTGATTATGATAGGAAAGTTTGTAATAATAGTATGTAATATAAATCAAAGTGCACTTCTGTTTTCAGTCTCCCCAAAAGTCCACCATGATTTACGACGAAACTTCCCCAGCGTTGGTAAGTTGGAATTGTTGTTTCTTATGCATCATGTTGTGTTTGTTTATATATGCTGTCCGCAATACATGATACTGTTGGAACTAATTAATCCACAGACGTGATAATTGGCTACAGGCTGGGTATGAGGGGTTGTCTTGGCAACAGAAGGGATTCTATCCCAAGAGGGAGCTGGTGTTACGACAAAGACAAGGAGGGGAGGGGAGTGAAGGGCAAGTAATATTTATAACACGGTGGGTAGACAGAGGTGAAAGTGATATGTATGAACGTTTTCATTGAACCAAAATTGATCCAACTAACTGCACTTGTCAAGTTGGTATGACGTTAAAAGAAGAATGGAGTATGTATCCTTGCTGGAGTATGATCAGGCCTACCATACAAACGGTGAACAAATCCTCAAAACTGAACTGAAATACACCAAAACGGAACAAAAATCAACAAGAACAAACTTCCGAAACTGCAACAATACGAAACAAACGCATCTGTAATGGAAAACTAATCGTTTGAAATGGAAACAACTCGCGTATCAGCTACAAGAGCGGCCGAGAACAGTTACCAAGCGTACGAAGTAACAGCATCCCGAAAAGGCATAAAAATCGTCACACATGGCGGTGCGGGAAGACGAACAGGCTATGGTTAGAAGTATATATGCTTTTCGGCCGCTCTTGTAGCTGACACGCGAGTTTTTTTTGTTTCCAGTTCAGAAGCGTATTTAAGGAAATTGTTGCAGTTTTGCTACTATTTTTTCTCTTTTGGTGATTTGGTGTTCTGGTGTATTTCAGTTCAGTTTTGAGCATTTGTTCACCTGATGAGGGTTGGTAAACTAAAAATTAAATCGTAGGATGGAGATCGAATGTAGCCTATTTGTGACGTAACACTGCAATCCTTGTCATATTTCCAGTCTCCGAGCACGAAGCGCCAGCCTATGACGTACTTTCTGTATCCCGGACTAGACTCAGGCGACCTGAAGAAATTCCTCTCGAAAAACAAGGCCTCCAATGCATGCATGAGGAAAGCGCTTCACGACCTCAACGTGAATGCACCATGCACCCTCCTGCCCGCTGCTGACGTCGTGACGCCAGACGACATTGATGACGAGGTCTTCCTAACAAACAACGACTTTGAAGTCGTAACAGAAAAGATCACGTCGCTTCAGCTCGAAGAATACTGTTCAGGTGATCGTGACGCCTTTGATGGCCTTGACCCCATTACGACCGACCTTGACGACATCAGCCTGGATGGAAGCAGATGTAATGGATATGAAAGTCAGACTTTCAGTCAACTCACCTTGCCTAACTGCGATACGATGTCTGGGGAGGAAAAGTGCAAATGGTCGTCTTCTTTAGCGTCAGTTCCCGGTCGCCCAAAGAAGCATCATTTCAAGAAGTTTCAAAGGTTCTTCAAACGGATCCGGTGTTTCTTCAAGTCAGGACGAGTGCCTTCCCAAGTGAGAACCAGTGACCCACTACAAGTGTGCAACAAATGTGGGAAGATAGCAGATGTCAAGGTCCATATGTGTTAGAGCAGCTGCAGTAATGGCAGTTGATTAATTCACCAGTGCTACTGTACCGTTATCAGTGCTGTATAATCCATTCATCATGAACCGTCATCTATGCTTCAATGATCCATTCATCATGAACTGTCATCTATGCTTTAATGTTCCATGAAACGTCATCTATGCTTTAATGTTCCCTTCATCATGAGCTGTAATCTATGCTTTAATGTTCCATGAAACGTCATCTATGCTTTAATGTTCCATTCATCATGAGCTGTAACCTATGCTTTAATGTTCCATGAAACGTCATCTATGCTTTAATGTTCCCTTCATCATGAGCTGTAATCTATGCTTTAATGTTCCATGAAACGTCATCTATGCTTTAATGTTCCATTCATCATGAGCTGTAATCTATGCTTTAATGTTCCATTCATCATGAACCGTCATCTATACTGTAGCGATCCATGATGAACCGTCATCTATGCTACTGTCATTTGTTCAATGTTCCACTGTCATTTGCCCGGTAATGTTCCATTCCATCATGAACCGTCGCCTGCCCTGTAATGTTCCATCATAGACCACCCGGTAATGTTCCATCATAAACCACCCTGTAATGTTCCATCATAAACCACCCGGTAATGTTCCATCATAAACCACCCTGTAATGTTCCATCCATCATGAACTGTTTTAATTCAGTGCTCTTATCATGTGCCATATGTTATTCTCGATACAACCTGCTGTTTTAAAGAAACAATTATCGTACTTAACTATTTCTACTATTTTACTACATGTACAGAATTCTCATTTTTGTACTATGCCAATCTTTCAGAATAAAAATATATAATCATGGGTGTTTTTACTGGGCAGCCAACTGTATACAGTTATGTGACACACCTCGTAGTACTGGTTGCCTGTGCCAGCGTGACAACAGCGTCTTGCATCCCGGACTCCTTACGGTGAGCGGAATTTGGTGTTCTAACCTTAGATCACCATGACTGTGTCTCAACAATACATGATTGCACCATACTAGCCACCGTATGTTTCATAAGGTTCTAAATAGGGCCACACCTCACTGATACATGTGAATGTTACATGTTTTATTTGGGATTACACATTCCCTTTATTCCGTTTCGGGTTGGCCGCCATCTGGTCGATCTAACCCACTATACGATTGATCTAATCGATCTAACCCACTATACCACCGAAGCTACACTACACAAAATAAACAACTCAGTATAGGTTACATACTTCGTATACCCCACTGAAGCAGTGTTAATCCCAACTTAACTGAATCGTGCGAACAATTGCAATTCTCGATCCACGCAGGGATAATCTACATCTTCTATTCTCCCTGCTCCACGCAACGTATCGTCTGTATGTATGCATGTATCTCCATGGTGTCGACAATGATTGGTCACCGATTCTGGGAAATAGGGAAATGTACATATAACACTACTGTTCTGCTGATTCTGGACCACACCATTGAGGACATCGAACTACAAAATGCGGACGATAACATGCATCAACCATGTCAACTAACCTATCAAGTATCATTCGAGTTGTCATCTCAAGCAAACAGTATGGTTTACAGAAGTCTAAATCTGACAGTTCTACAGCAATTCTCGTGAATTGCCGTTTTCAGTCTTGTGTTTTACTGTAAATTCGCATGTAGTGTTTCTTTTAGGTATGCGAGAGAGTGTTAAAACAGGGATAATCTACATATTCTATTCTCCCTGGTTAAAACGCAGGCAAACTGTAGCGCAAATATGAGAGAAATGACCAGTCTCCGAGCGGAGCACATAGGAAGACTGGGGCCGGATTCACTAAACTTCTAAGAATTTTCTTAGTTTTTATCTTTAATTTTCCTTAAGAATTCTTAAGGCTTAAGAAAATTCTAAGAAGTTTAGTGAATCCGGCCCCTGAGTCTCTTTGTTGCACAACCCTATTTGCCTTTGGTTATTGTTACGGTCCTGACTGCGTTTAGTTTTACGACGCACACAGCAATATTCCAGCTATATCTGTAACTACTGTAATCGAGTATGTTGCAGACAATCCAGTGGTCAACAGCATGAGCATATGCGCAATTGGGAACCGATGACATGCGTCAACCTACGGTCTTGAGGATTTACCCACAAGTCAATTACTACATAAAACAACGACCTGAGTTCTATGGATATATAACTTAATATGGACGACTTCACAGTGTAGGTAATAACACCTTTATCAAGCAAGTGATAACTGTGTTAGTACTTTATAACCAGGATATTTAGGATTGAAAACTGAAAATATATTTGGTAAATATTTAAGGAAAATTTGAAGTTCAGTTAAGAAGTGTCATTGTGCTTGGAAAGTGCATTGACCAGAGTAACCAGATTCATATCGATTCATTTCCCTTGCATACAACAAATCTAATAAGGGAGATGAGTGGAACACGTGGATCGGGTGACTCATATACCATTTAGGTAGTTACTAGTAATTAAGATACTAAGAATCAGAAAAGGGACACACGTAATGATTCGATTAACCAAACTCTGGCGCCTGACAGTCGGAAGTTTTATTCAGTTGAATGCTTCACGAATGATTTAAGCTCACTAATAAGGTACATTTATGATGGAAGAAATTGATGGTACCGATTAAGTCTTGGAAGAGAGGAAATGATTATAGTTAGTGGTGCAGCTGGAATATGAGTCAGTTGAAAGGGACTAATGAAAGTAACTTATTAGTCAGATGGGTTATGAGTCATTTTTATATGGGGTAGGACTGATTTACAGGGGGAGGAGCCAGAAAATTGTGAAGAGAATCAAAACTGAGCTGACTGGGAGAGAGCAGGAGAGCAGGGCCCCACCGTTGACTTGAGAGGTTCTCTCTGTATATTGAGAGAATAGCTGAGACGAAATTGTAACTTTAGGAGTTGGGCAAGAAACCAACAAGTTCTTCCATGAAGTTGTGAATATGTGTTGTATGTAAACTAGGAAAGCTAGGAAGTATCTGAGGACCTTTGTGAAAGAATTCATTCCAAAATAAATGGACTTGAACAACATACCGGACTTATCCTTGACTATCCATCTTAGTTACATCATCCCCAGGACCAGAGTGGCTAGACAGATTGCCTAGGGTGGAAGGGTATAACACCCCAAAACCCCAGGTAACACATGGTGGAGTTTGCTTTAAGTTCTCTGTACCGTGCTCAAATTTTTCATGGTGTGTGAAAAGTTATGATTCTGTTGGACTTGCAACTAATGAGGAGAGGTACGTGAACTGTTTCCATCTCCTGCTATGGGTATGTGCTATGTGGACCTGGAAGAGACTGTAGCCATCCATGGTAGGTTATGTCTTGATTTACTGAAATAGGTGCATTTGGCCTTTCAACCGTGTGAGGACCTCTCCCAAGCCTGACAGTGAACATTAACTCTGTGGGCCCCGGGACTTATTGATTTTCCGAACAGTGTGGTCACTACCACTACAGTGTTATTGATTTCCTGGTGTTGGACAGTTTCAGCGGGACAGACCCCCCAGCAGCCTACTTGTGTGATTAGTAACTTTCTTCAGTGTGCATTGAATGTTTAGTTTGTGTACTGTGAGACTCTGAATCTGACATTTATCTATCTTGTTACTATTGTTTGTACCAATTATGTGTTATATCGCGTCATGTCATCTGATGATAAGGGTACAGTAGTTAAGTTTTTACTCCCATTAACTATGCTCATGCTTCTATTGATTTGCCAGCATTCTCACCAAGTTTTACTACTTTAACTGAGCCAGTTGTTAGTTCTCCTATTAGAGACAGAGGTGCATCCTTCATTTCACCAACTTCTCAGAGAGAGTTTGGTCGTTTTGCCGAGTCTACTGTAGATACAACTGTTACTATCAAAATGCTGTATGACAGAAAAGAGGGTGCGGCAGCACAAATTAAGAAAGAGGGTCAGGCTAGTTTCTTTTCACAGTATCGTGGGGATAACCCAGACAGACTAGACAGAAGTGTTTGTACATTGGCTAATACATTTGCTCTTAGTCACATCAATCTTGAGAAATTTGATGGAAGTGAATCAGCTAAGGCCAGTGGTTGGTTGAAACGTTATGAAAAGTTTACCTTTCTGAACAATTATTCTGATGAGGGCAAGAACGAAGCTTTCATTTTGTGGCTAGATGGCAAAGCTTTTAAATGGTTTGAGGCAAAAGATTTTGAGGATGATACTTGGGAGGAAGTAAAAGCTGCTTTTCTTGCTAGGTACAAGAAAAATTCTGTGAAAATTTATGATTGGTTCGATAAGCTGTACAGTAGGAAGCAGAAAGACTCTGAGAACTTTGAGGACTTCCTACAAGACCTTGAACATGAGGCAAGGAGTCTTGATCGTTTTAACGACAACTTTGTTAAGGATGCTGTAATCAGGAATTCCAAGCCTCAGATAAAGCAGTTTATCCTAACTAGGCCTCACGATACAAAGGACCAGGTACTTCAGAGTGCAAGGATGGCGGATGCTGCATTTGGTAGCATGTCGCTCTCCTCAGACAATCTTGTGGCTGTTATAGAGGATCTTAAGGGACACATACTATCCTTGACATCAAGGGAGGATGCACAGGACTATGGAGACAATTCATATGGAAGACAAAGTGCCGAGTGACATTCCAGAGTGACATTCGGGACAATTCAGGATTTCAGCCTCAATAGCCTAGTGGGACACATAACTTTTATAGCTCTCAGGGACAGAAACCAGGATCTCTGTATCAGAGGTCTAAGTCCATAGACCGTCCTGAGTTCTATGAACAATCTGAACCATATGGATGGAACGCTGATGCCATATCCTAGGAGGATATGCAGAGGTTGCGGTAGGACACATTTTAGTATGTCTGAGTGCTTTGCTTAATTATTACAATGTTATCGATGTGGTAGGATTGCCACATTAGCTGATTCTGTTTTTCTGAGCCAAACTTTCTCCAAAGTCACAGTGTGATGCTAAATGAGGGTATAAGCCTCCTGACGAATTAGCACACATTCATGATAATGCCATTAAGAACCGTGGGCACACATTTACAATTGTAGATGATCAAGAGCCAAATCACAGTAAGAATATTGATTTGAGTGATGTTGTTATTTTGACATGTAGTGTGGGACTATCCCATAGCGGTATTAGGGTTAAGATTTAGGGAAATCATGCAATGTGCTATGAGACTCAGGTGCAAGTTTGAGCTGCATGAAATCAGATATTTTCTCATTTAACAAGAATGAGAGCTATTTTCCTATTACAAGACAAGGTGCAAGGGCATTGGTTGGAGCAGATTGGAATCAGTTAAATGTTTTAGGTATATCTCAAGCATTGATCAAGTATTTCATGTACATTCAACATATCTGTTGATGCATTGTTAGGTTTACATTTTTTGTTACAGAGACAGTAAATTACCATTGATTTAAGTCGCAATGGATTGACTTAGTAACTTAGACTTAAGGCCTTGCAGAGACAAAGTTATTGCTTATTTTGCTAATTCCAGTGTCCAGTATAGAGACACTATTATATGTTATGTGAATAACCCAGACACTTAATT